CCAGACTGCTGATAAACACACATAATTATATTTTTAAATACATACATATTATAGATAAATTAGACCTAGACATAGAACAAATGACCGTGCTCATCACACAATATTTGTCCTGTGCGGGAATTGAACCCACGACCTCCAGCTTAGCAGTCAGGGTTACCAACCACTAAACCAACAGGCCCGTCATTTTATCGATATATGTTTATTCCTATACTATGCATCTTTGCAATTTGCATTCAGTTTTCCAGACAATTTATCATGGATTCAAAAGATAGTGACAAAGGGTACCTTAATTACTTCCACGCGTGCGAAGCCGCACACAAAGACTAGTTAACAATAAATGGTGTTTCTACCTGCTTAATTTATAACAGTGAACAAACCGCTTTTCAAATAATAAAGATTATAATCCATAAATATAGGGGTCGTATATTGTTTCTAACATCATATCGAACCATATGATGTTTTTTGTAAGACAAATATCACATCAACAGCCTATGATAGTCCACTGCTGGACATAGGCCTCTCCTTAGAAAGAAGGTTTTGGTCCACTGTACCACGCTGGCCAGACGGGTTGGTAAAGTGTTTGTTTCAAGTTTTCCTTCTCTTTGCAGTACTGTTGTATTGCGTAGTTTTCTCCCTCAGTCGACTTTTAAGACACCCACGGGATGAATAGGGGTGGTGACATTACGTATTCTTAATCCATCACCAAATATAATAAGCCTTCCTAGTATATAATAACCTTCCTTTCAATTAATTACTATATTTACGTATCGAAATTTACGCTGTATCTCGTAAATAAAATTCACTCGGCCCATCAAAGTATCGCTGGTCTGCATCCTCATAGATATACTCGTACACAGCTGCATAAATGTCGGTTTTAAAATAACAAAAAAATAAATAAACACTGCAGCTACCGGCTACATGGATTTTTACCGTGGAATCCTTTTTAAGTATTTCAATAAAATACGAAAAACTATGTTGTGTAATTTTTTTTGTTTTTGCAATTCCGTTTTGTGTCCTCCGTAGTCCTTTGTGTAAAAAAATCCTGTTTCTAGTCTACATGTACATACATGTAGACTATAAAGAGGATTTTTTTAAATTTCACACATCACGCATCAACAACTTGTAACAGTTCACTGCTGGACATAGGTCTCTCCTTAGAAGGAGGTTTTAGCCCACCATACCACGCTGGCCAGACGGGTTTGAATAGGGTTTGTTTTAAGGTTTCCTTCTCTTTGCACTGCTGTTGTCCTGCGTAGTTTGCTCCCTTAGTCGGCTCTTATGACACCCACGGGGTGAATAGGGGTGGTGACACTCCGTGACTACTCACTTACCATCAGGTGATCCGTCTGCTCGTTTGTCCCTTACCTCAAAAAAAAACATCTCTTTAAACTGCCTAATTCTTTAGTTTATTATATATTTAAAAAAACAGATGACTGACACAACACCATCTAGTTTCAAACTAAGCTGAGCTTGTACTATGAAAGCTTGATTGACTGATAGAATACTTTTTTTTGTAAATACATACATAGAAAGCAAGCACCCAAACTCTGAAACAAATATTTGTAGATCTTACAAACATTCGGTCCGACCCGGGAATCGAACCCGAGACCTCAGCACAGCAGTGGCATACGCTACCACTGCACCATCGAGGTAGTCAAAAAAGTATCTTTATACCCGAATAGTGACTTGAACTAAAAGTAACCACACGAGTTTAACTAAATACTAAATTCAAATTGCGTATTGAAATGCGAATAACGAATAAACGTTTCTGCACTTGGTGTTACATAGTTTTATCAGAGAATTAACTTTTAGTGGGGCTTTATGACGCCATTTGGGCATCAATATTTATCACACTGCATTAGGTACTTTAATATTAAATTATTTAAACAGACTCTAGTTATAATTGAAGCTCACCTACATAATTAAAAATAATATCAATTAATTGAATGTAATCCATGTCATTGTTCTTGTTTTTATTATGTAAGTCCATTTAGTTATGAGTCATGTAACAGCCAACTATTCGATTTCATATTTGTCTTCGAGATATTCTTTCACACTGTAGTATATTCACACTGTAATATCCGTGAGGTAACGGATTAAGAATACAGAGTGTCACCACGCCTATTCATCCCGTGGGTGTCGTAAGAGCCGACTAAGGGAGAAAACCACGCAGAACAACAGCACTGCAGAGAGAAGGAAAACTTGAAACATGGTATAGGGGATACCAACCCATCTGGCCAACGTGGTATAGTAGGCCAAAACTTCCTTTCTAAGCAGAGGTTTAGGTCCAGCAGTTGGCTATTAAATGCTGTTGATGTGATGTGATGTAGTATGCCTCATCAACAAGAGATTGATTCAATACCGTTTTAAACTATAGATCATAGATTAGATATAATTTATAGAGCTGCCATAATAATCTTAGAATAATACGAACTTTAAAAACAATTCTCAATATTGTAACAAATCTCTCTCCGTCTCAAGTAACAAGTGTTCAAAGGAAAATTGCCAGCGTATTGGCTTCAGGTTCTTTGAAATGCATAAGAGCTTAGCATATTACCGTAAACGAGTTGAAAGCTGCAAAAGAGAATAGAGAAGGCTATCTAAAGGATATAAAGAGTAAAATAATGCGTTGTTTAAATAACACAAAGGGTAGGAGTGAAAATGTAGTCAAAAGTGACACGTTCATTCAACTAACTCATGACAGTGACTCAATAGGGATACCTATTTAAAGATTTATCGAAATAAAAAGAAACAAGTAATGTTAAATTGAAAAATAATTGTTTTAAATGGCAAAATTGAAAAATAAAATTATTTTTAATTTTGCCGCGTAAAACATTTGCATCGCATTTGATTAAGTAATTAACTGACAGTTTATGCATAGAGAATAATTACAAATGTGGTCAAACTGACAGCTGTCAGCTTATTTATCGGTTAATGACGTATTTAAAGGTTATTCATTAGGTTCATTTACGCTTGTTTGAGAACTTTGTAGTATAAAATGAACAAATCATAATAATGTGCTATTTCTAAAAGCTAAAAAATATATGTAATATGTTTTACATTTCCTTTAAAACAAGTTACTGTAAAAACCACAATTGTCCGAAAGCGAATACCGTAATATATAGTAGTTACATTCAGCAACTCTTTTTTCTCTCACGAGTTTCATCCACACTTTTAATTAAATGCGAAATTTAAAAGCGCTGTAAAACATCGCTCGTAGGATTTTAAGCGAGCCGAGCGTAGTGAAAAACAAGGGGTCGTGGAATTGGGCCACCTGCCAAATGCTGACTACTATTCAGAGTGATGTAGAAGGTGTGGAATATGTATGCTTCTGTATAGACACTGCTGCACGGAATAGTGTTGAAATAGTTTATATATATATATATATTTATATATAATGTCACGGGAACAAAGACACACTTTTTTTTTGCTGGAGTCCCCAGAGTAAACAGTTTAAATCGAATTGTACGTCGCTACAGTTGAGCTTTTTTTCTTATTGGTTGTGGGCTCAGATTTCCGCACTTAATTTCGAGAGTGGTCCTTTATGCGTCGAGGAAAGGTTGGCTAGGTGAGCCAACCAAGCTCCTTCCAGAAGCGCAGAAGCCTCCTGGGGGCGTACACAGGCTTCTAAAAGCGATTTTGTACCATACAGATGAGCTTTTGTGTCTATGAAATTTTGATAGGACAAAATGAGTGATCATTGCCATTCGTCTGCACACAATAGACACCATTGCGCATTAGGAGTACTCTAGTAAATTTTTTTAAACTGGCCCCTCTTGTAACTGACATTAGAAACAAAACCAGTGCGTGCATTAACCTGGCCCCTCTCGTAACTGACATTAAAACAAAACCAGTGCCTATATTCAACTTGCCCCTCTTGTAACTGACATTAAAAACAAAACCAGTGCCTATTCAAAACTTGCTCATCTTGTAACTGACTTTAAAAACAAAACCAGTGCCTGCATTAAACTGCCCCCTCTTGTAACTGACATTAAAAACAAAACCAGTGCCTATTCAACTTGCCCCTCTTGTAACTGACATTAAAAACAAAACCAGTGCCTATTCAAAACTTGCTCTTCTTGTAACTGACTTTAAAAACAAAACCAGTGCCTATTCAAAACTTGCTCCTCTTGTAACTTACTTTAAAAACAAAACCAGTGCCTATATTCAACTGGCCCCTCTTGTAACGGACATTAAAACAAAACCAGTGCCTATATTCAACTTGCCCCTCTTGTAACTGACATTAAAAACAAAACCAGTGCCTATTCAAAACTTGCTCTTCTTGTAACTGACTTTAAAAACAAAACCAGTGCCTATATTCAACTGGCCCCTCTTGTAACTGTCATTTAAAACAAAATTAGTGCCTATTTAAAACTGGCCCCTCTCGTAACTGACATTAGAAACAAAACCAGTGCCTACATTAAACTGGCCCCTCTTGTGACTGACATTAAAAACAAAACCAGTGCCTATTTAATACTTGCTCTTCTTGTAACTGACTTTAAAAACAAAACCAGTTCCTATATTAAACTGGCCGCTCTTACAAATGACATTAAAAACAAAACCAGTGCCTATATTAAACTGGCCCCTCTTGTAACTGATATTAAAAAGAAAACCTGTGCCTGTATTAAACTGGCCTCCTTTGTAACTGACATTAAAATCGCAGTGCATGTCACTGGCGACATAATTGTTATATACGTATAAGCTTTTATTTCTCTCACAAGAGTCACAAATGCGCTACCGCTCTTTAGCTTCCCTCTAGAACCCGAGACGGCGTGCGATTTTTAGTCGGTTCGAGTCCGACATATCACATAACCGTCCTGCCGGTTGTCCTGTGTCCCGAAGTGATTTCCACGGGGGAAAAAAGGAGAAACAACGAAATCATTCCGGTCGAGCCGGTCTCCCATGGCTCTCCCACAACTGCCTATATAAAACCCTTGAATGCCCCATTTCTACTTGTCTACATAATGGTTAAATTATGAAACATTTTTTTAAAATTACAGATGAGGTAGACGTAATTGGGTACACGTCGAACCAGAGCGATAGCGAGTCGCTGGTGTCAGGCCACAGTGGCGACAGCGGCGTGGGAGTGCCGCGGCGACGACGTGCATGCTCGCCTCGCGTGACGTCACTCGCGACCCACGCGCCCCACGCGCGGCCACGGCGCGCAGCTCGCTCCACGAGGGTCTAGGTAGGTATTGTATCCAAAATATCCACTGTCAGTACATACTATTTAAAAAAAAGCCCATATATGTTTTAGCCAAATTCCTTCTTAGGAAAGTACACAGTTTAAGTGCTATGCAAAAGCATGTTTGCGCTTATGAATATAAATTGTTCAAGTGAAGTTAATATAGAGAATAACGAAGATTTTCTAAAAGTACCTTAATCACTTAGTATGTACAGTCACAGATAAGGCGTTTTAACATTTTGCCTGTTTTTATTGCAGGTGACCGGATGGCGGCGCGGGCCGAACACGGAGCCAACATCGGCTCGCCGCTAGACGTTACAACTTCTTAACGTAAACAAACGTAGAACATTTTGTTGATACATATACTAAGGCGAAAGTTGTTTCTGTGACCGAACGTGACGCCGACGGTTGCACGGACAGAGTGACTCGGCGATGACGACACCTGCGCCCGCGCCGCACACATACATACACACACATACATTGATACACACACCTGACGTATACACATTAAACATAAATACATACACATATCTTTACATACACACACACACACATTCACAACGTCATACACACTCATACACCATAACATAACACTGTACACGTGAACACGCTACACACCTCTGCGAACCATCACTAAGTACAAAATTGCCAAAAATTTATATTCAAAGTTTTATTTTTCACATTTCAGATGAATTTGTATTTGTTTGTTTTTTTCTTTATTTTCTTTCTATTGAATTGTACCGAGCCTGGCTCGTTTGGATGAGTTGCAATATTGTGTAGTCTCGTGAGGCGATGTGTATTCCATAGGTTTCATCGCGCTCACATATTCCACTGTGTTGAAAACATGCAATGTGTGCAAACCTTTATCTACATAATGTCACTATAATTTTTGTACTTTATATTTTATATCATACGTTTTATAATTTTAGGCCTGGGGGCCGGCCGGACCTTCGTTACCAACTCGTAAAAATGTTGTCTGGGCCCCTTGTTCGCCCACATTATCAATCAACCATATTATTTTTGTATTTATTATTAAATTTTTCTATCGGACATATTCGAATATAAATTTCAACGGTCTTAGTTAAAAAATGTTTTTTGAAAAAAAACTCTAGGTACTTATTGTTATTAATTTCGACGAAAAAAAAAAACAAGTTGCTATTATAGTGTATGTTGTATAGGTATATCAATTTTATATTTTGTATATATTATTTTTCTTGTAAAAATTAATCAAATAGAATTAGATCTGTGAATGATGCGCGAATTTGGAGTAAAGTTTTTCTAAGTTGGGTCTAATACAAAAAAAGGGAAGCCACCAAAAAATTTTTGTTTTAATTAATTTTATATACCTAAGTAATTTCCATCTAAATTCAGGTACTTACATGTCATTCGGCTATGAGAATTGTGGTTGTGGGGCAGACATCAGGCGGTGTGGGACGTTGACGGCGTGTGAAAGGTTGACTTGAATTGTTTTAGCGCTGCGGGCCAGGCGCGATGTCAGTATAAGGCATCTCTAAAATCCAATATATTTATTTCAATTTAATCAATTATTGGTGATGGTCATAAGTAGAACTCGGTCAGAATAAATTAGTCATGAAGTTGTCTGTTCATTGTTCATGATCCTATGGAGAAGAATTGTTTTTCTTCATAATTTTTTTACAACTTCATTGTTATATTGTTTATGCTCTCAAATTAAATGTGAGAACAAAGTAACATAATCGATCTCAAGCTTTTTAAAAGGGAAGCCGGTAGACCCAAATCATATGACACTATCGGCAAGACTTCTAGGCGAGGATGACATGCTAAGAGTCTAAATTATTAGTAAATTACAATCTGCGCCCGCCACGTCGCCGTTCCGCCCCTCGCACTGTCTGAGCAAGATCTAGTTGTGGCACTTCCTTTTTTTATAATTTAAATCATGTTTTTTTATTATTATTATTTTGCTTTAAAAGCATCAAATCAATTTTAAACTTTACTCTGGGTAGAATAGACCTTATTGCCTTACGTGGATCGTCAGCGTGTTTGAAATCACGGCAATTGTCAGATATTACGCCATATTTGCTGTTTATATTGTATGCAATGCACGGTCGATTGCGTGATTCGGGCACGCTCAATCCAAAACTTGGCTACGTTCGTGTTGATCACAACATTTCAACCATTCACTTACTCATTTTTTATTTTTTACTACGTAGTAGTTGTAAACATGTTGTATTGAAACGTTTTATGTTATTTTCGACTTTATTAAGTTTATAGTGCAGTCTAAAATTGCATAGCGTCCAACTACTCGTAACACATCACTAACCATCGTATTGTTAAGTATTAATGTTGAATTATAATTAATGATCTCACTTCATTGTCACACGCAATCGGCTGAGTAAATGTGTCACTACTGACTGCTGCAGTTATTTGTCTATAAAACAAGTTGGGCAGTTTTCGTACTTGTGCTAAAAACCTATTTTCTTTTACGTAAATTAATATTGCACCTTCTTAACTTTCCATTAAAAATAAATCGTTAGTTAAGTTTCAGTTTACTGACACACGAGATTCATTCGAACATTCTGTTCTCACTGGACTGTGGCTAATCCTCATATTATTGTTATAATTAATTTTTCTTTACGTTTTATCCGTCGCTTTATAAGTTTTTATTTATGTAATTGTAATGACACAGTTATTTAGTTGCGATTTTAATTTATGTGGACATTTATGTACCAAAAAAATAATATATTATACACGAAATGAAAGCTGGACAATACATTGTGTTACAAATCCACAAAATCCAAAAAAAACATCTAGATGAGTACACATATATTTTTGTTATAAACTATTGTATCTTGTAATTAATTGTTGATTCATTTTTGAGATGAACGACTGAATTTTCATTGTGTTATATTATTTCAAATAAAATCTATCGACATTCGGTGGGCCCTCGTACGAGTCAATCTCATCACTTCCTTCCCGGCCCGACTGAATGAATGAGTTACGTTTATCTAAATATAATTTGCAAAAAAAAAGTATATTATTGTAAATTATTTTAGGTATGGATGTTTATAATAAGGATAGTTGTAAACGTATTATCATTTGTAAGTATAATATTTGTTTTTAATGACAGTTTGATCTCTTAAGGTAAAATTGTGTTGTATGCGCGTTGGCGGGAACTTGTCTTGTCGCGATGTCGGGCGCAAGACTCACTCACGAGCTCGGCTGTAAGCGCCACGAACATGCACTCGCGCGACACAACGCTCGCTTACACAGCAACACATAGTATATCGTACGTGAACATTATACGATCCAACAAGCAAACTAAATGCATCAATTGAACGAATGAAGCGCAGTTACTGTCAAAATGAATGTCTTTATTCACTCATTATCAATTTTATTCAAAGTTGACAGTGAAATGAGTTTCGTCCGTCAATGAATGACCGACATTCGTTTGTTTGACCGTGTATTGCCACTATAGAGTTACATGTTATACGCTGCTCACATCACATTGTAAAAATGTACAGTATCTTGTTTTAATGTGTTCTAAGTCACTTAAATTTTATAACTTGTTAAGCTACATCGATAAACGAGTCCATCCAGCTGTTTTCATATTACTTTGACGTAATTGTCGCGAGTTGACTGAGTACATCTAAGAACTTTGTTAAGTTAGACTAGGCTGTACAAGCGAGCGTGGTCGCGAAACGTTTTACGTCATAGCGCAACGTCATGACGTGACGTCGGCTCACTTCAACGCTCACACCTATGCCTCTGTCAGAATATTTATATGAACAGAAATTTATTTATCATTTGGTTATTATTTATGTATCACAAAAAATATTTAATTTATTGCTAGAACAGTGCTTTGTCGTTTTATATCGTACCAGTGTTTCGCTTCGATCAACTCACTCACTTGCTTGCCGTTCGTACCATAGAATAGACATCCTACCGTAGTGATGTACCGTTATGTTGCAATCGGGTGTAAAATGGGTTCAGCGGCGACGGGACGCTTTAAGAGTACAAATTCTGTATAAGCCCCTCAACTTGTGTGGTATATTCTAAACGTTAATTTTAAAACACGAAACAGGGAGAAGGTATCGTCAGGATACGATTATAGTAAGTAGCGCGCGGGCGACTTTAGTAAAGGAACCGGTCAGCTCTGCCATCGATGTTGTCTCTTCATTATTATCTGTATCCTATTGCTACAGTGACTTTATTTTGCTATATCTTCCGATTTTACTCACTCGTAGCGTTACCCGGGCGCGTAGAGCGCCCTATTGTTAAGACGGTGTATCACTGTATCGTTGTATCGTTGTCTCACTGTAACGATAGGGTATTAGAAATGTACGCGCACTGTACGCGCGCACCTCTTTATAGATAAGAAATGTGTTATTAGAAAATTGCAATAAATATCCTCCGGCCGTCCGCGGCCTGCGACATGCCTCTGCGACTGTTTACCCAACTTAGTCGCTGTTTAAATTAGTCCAGCGTGTAAAAAAAATATCAGTGCATTTGTAAATATTGGAGCCAAAATTTTTATACAAATTATTTCATAAATATATTCTTGGACCAAGTTGTGCGTGGAGGCGTGTCGATTGTCGTTGACGCTTGGCTGCCGCGGGCTTGACACCTCGACACGTCACTGTGACAGATGATAGTTCACACATTCGTTCACGTTGAACAACAAACGCATCCCGCGTTTGTTTTCGAATCGAAATCGCGCCATTTTGTGAAAACGAGCGCATATAATATCGCGTGGCGAGGAGAACTCGAACTCGTTCATTAGGTCTGTGTCGTGCGTGAAAAGCACTCGACGCTCTTTGTCGGGGCGAGCAGCCATTCGTGTCTGATCGTAGAGGCAAAACATTAGGTACTATGTGACTACTGCTGATGTGACATGGCAGCATTATTCAATGTAATTGACAAAACGTGGCACATATAATTTAATATATGTAAAAAGTTATAGAAATAATTAATTTAATAAAATTATAAATAAAATTTTCTGTTGTATTATTTCTGCAAGTTCTACTTACCTTAAATATACAGTATTCATACAAAAGACTCCTGAACATAATCATTTGTGGGTAAAATATTTCGGGTATGCCCGACTTTTTTCGAATCTAGAGGCCTTATATCAAACAGCGAAAACTGCTGCCAAGTGCAACCGGGTAGGACATTTCACTCTTCGACATCGAGCCCTCTTCAGATCCAAAACAAATCGTGCAGCATCGAACCACGATATTAAAACCTTACATCTTTAATAAGAATGGAGATTGCAAGATTGAGAAATAATAAATAAAACCAAAATATTAGAATCAAATACATATTTCTTTATTAATTATATCGAATATTATCTGAATACATCGACCAGCGAATGACCAGAATTACAGTATCATACAAAACATAACCACACATACAATATAAATATGGGCCTACTCTTTGGCTGAGGTTAAATTGATATCGATACAAAGGCAAAGTGTCAATTTTTACAGACTTTAAAACAGACGTAAGACGAAGATCTAATTGAAGTAGGTAAAAACCACAAATTTGGTAAAATGCAGTAACTGCAAATGATATCTTTAACCGACTTCAAAAACCGAAGAGATGAACTGTCACTTGTAAATTCAGTAAAAATAACTATTGTTTAAAGTAAATATGTAAAATTCTAAAAATAAATACAGAATTTATGAAGTTTCTGTAATAACTGACTAGAAAAAATTAAAATCGACTTCAATACTCTGAATTACTTCTATAACAGTCTTTTACTTATGTTTCATAACAGTCTCGAACTTAATAATCTGTTCAAATCGGTCTCTATGCTTTTTGAAGTCGTTTGAAAAGCTTACATATGTTGAGTCACTGCCGCCACTGTGTAAGTATAGTACTCGTACGTTACTTAACATATCGTAATGTTACGTAAATTACAATATATACGAGTATATAGATCAACAACAAAGACAGTACAACCATAGAAGTCATATTAATTAACTGTATAAGTGGATCAATGGCAATTTAAGCAATCAATTGAGAATTGATTGCTTAAAGACAAAACCTTCATAATATAAAAAAAACCTTTCCTTCTCCGAGCCTTTTTCAAAACAAGGTTGGAGTTATACAGCTGAACTTAGATTTTTTATGCATCAGACCTCCACAACCCAAGTACTAGGCAATATCGAAGTTCTGTACTGTTAGTGGATTTTTAGGGCTCCAACTAACTCCGTAAGGATTGCTACAGATATTCGTATGGCAACCGGGAACGACGGCTTAACGTGCTCTCCGAGAAGAGAAGAGAAGAGAGAAAATATTACGGCACAATTTACAGTTCTAAATAAGCAAACAATTCCCGTTTTATAGTGAAAATTATAAAGCCATCCAGAATATACTATTTAAATACTTACACTAAACGAGTATTTCGGAACCGTCATAAATTCATAAAATTAATAGGAAAGACAACACTAGTCTACGAAGCAGAAAGATCTTTTGAAAACACTATTATTTTATTTTATATCAGTTTCACCATACACTTATTAAAACGCGATGGGGGAAAATATTTCTAAAACAAAAGTATACAATTTTTTGTTATTTTTAACGGCAACACCGACACCGATAATCCAACTAGTGATTTTTTTTTTTCTCTTTAGTTACCTAACTTTTTGTACATACAATATTATTGAATTAAATAATCGATTAGCTTTACATTGAAAACGTTTCCGAAAATTATCAACAAATTATCAAAAAATTGCTGACTAAAAATTACAGCTAAAATATACAACGGACTGGGTATATTATTAAAAAGGAAAGGTTAAAATAAAGGTTTGCGCATTTGGTGTGAAAAAGATCTTTTTACTTCGAGACCAACAAGGATTTAAATTAGTTTCTTAAGGACAGACGTAATATATGAACATACAAAACCAACACAATTACATAAATCATTGACAGTTTAACATATTTAAGCTCGACCGCCTGAGCACCATACAATGTCACTCGGCACACTGCTAATACAACATTTTACATTCAAATATAACCTAAAATATTATACAGAACCATTCTTCTAATTTATTAATCATAAAAAAAATAAAGACTTTCCTATCTTTAATAATAATAATATTTCAGACATCTAACACACAACGCCATCTAGTTCTTTATTTTACAGCATGAAATTGAAAGCATAGTGTATGCAAACGCAAACTTGCATGCATGGGTAACTGCATAAATTACGCAGCCATGAATACATGCATACTGATTGTATACATACATAATGATCAGTCTACGCGATCACTCATGCGTGCATAATCACGAACTAATTATAAAAAATGGTTTATTTGGAATTGTCAAAACCTACTTTTAATATAAAATTAAAGCACAATATGTATATTTTAGGATTCTCCTAATATCCACCTAAGGCAGTTATTAATTTATATGCAAACATAATTGATACACCAACAGATAAATAGGTCCTTTTCAATCTACAATATTGGTCTGAAAAACTCTTAAGGTTTATATTTCCTCAACAATGTAAGGTTTCGTTAGAAGAATAGTTCATTAAGGAAATTCTTAGTTTATCTAATGATCAACACCGAGGACAAAAATTTATCTAAAATTATACAAAAAAAAATCCGATTATATAAAATTAAAGACATATCAATGCAAGACGCTAAAATTGAATTTTAGTCATAATAAGAATTTAATTCTTTAAAAGTATTAAATTAAGTAAACTAAAATAATTAGTCATGTTCATCATTAACAATGTGTGTTACTTAGTACGAATTAACTTACAATCAATGATTGATGATATTATAGCAATTGGTACGATAGCTTTAATAGCGTGATGCAGAAATACTTGTTAGAAGCATTCCAGATTACTTTCGCTAGAGGGCGTTGATCAGAATAGTTTGTACAAGAAACGAATGATATAAGAAATCGATTACTAATTACTTACACCCTCATTAAATATACTCAAGAATGTACCATAATGTACTATGGTACGTTTACTTATGTATGTAACATGAAGTTATAAATAACCGTGGTTTATTGAAATCTGATAGGGTAGCTGAAAAAAACTTTAATGTATTATGACCGTAACTCGGTAGCCAAAAGCCGATAACAGTTTCGACCGATTCCGACATCTCGGTCAAACCCATAGTCAATAGGTATGCAAATGTAATTTTATGTTGCCGACTAGTGGTACGACTATAAATAGACTAGAATTGAAACAATAAAAAAACTATCAACTTCGGGAAACAGCATTATAAATATAAATAATCGGGGTTTACATTATAATTAATATTTTATTAACATTTTAAATAATATTAAAATTATATTTAACCTAACCACAGCGTATCGTGGCAATTAGTTCTAAATAAACTTTAAATAAATATACATCATTTATATACATACAGACAAAGTTTAAATGAATATTACTTTTTATTTATTTAACACCAATTTTCGTGTTAGTAAGTACTTATGCGTTAAGAAAATACACTAACCATTCGTTACCAGTAAGAATACATTCCATAACTGGTTACGAAACTCAGCAGCGATCGTTACCGAAGCAATTTTACCATCAAATGATAAAACGAAAAGAAATTGCTGAGAGAATATTGTACACTCAAATAATGGTGGGATATATTTAAAACTATAATAATTCGGTAACTCAATAATTATATTATTGTTAAATTAAAAAAAAAATTAATTACAAAATAAGTACTGAATATATTATAATATATGCAAATATTTTAACTTCACTTTTATAGTAGCTATATTAGAATATACCCAATCAATCGCACTAATCTATCAATTATCTAATAAAGCTTATTTAATTATAACAATTAAACTATAACACTAAATCTAAATGACTATCCAACTATTTTGGTAGGACTGAGAAATATTTCTACTGTGAGCATTTCATAGGAATTTGTGTGGTGTTCGTGTCATGTAGGCGGCAAAAATCAAAAATGACACACTTTGTCACTACAAATAACGCAAAATTTCATATCACCCCAGCAAAATTAAATATCTCTGCAGTATACATGTCTTGCAGACAAGTGTATATCTCCGCGGTATGACATTATCTCCGCATTATGGTTAGATATCTCCGCTGTATGTATATCTCCGCAACAAAATCATGCTACATTACTACAAAAATGATAATTTTTCTATATTTGTGGTGGGCACAAATATGGTTTGTTTTTATATTTTGTATTAAGTTCTTGAATCGTGAATCTCTATTGAACTAAGTGTTCATCCTTAAGAAGAACGAAATTTCTAAATATGTGTAATTTTTTTTTTTTCTTTTTATTAGAAAGATAAGATTGTCTAAATGTAACTTCAAATAATGTGCATCTTATTTCTTCTATAAACTTCTATTTAAGTGGGAATATATTTTTGTTTTAATACTTTTTATATCTTACTTTCATTGAAGCATTTTCGAAAAATAATTTATTTTGTCAAGTTACCAACGCCGAAGTTACAATCTTTTTATTTCAACGGGAACAATATGTTTCTGTTTCAATTAAGAAACCAGAAGACATTTTTTTGAATATCCAATTTCAATTCCATAATGTTTGTTTGCCAATGTTTCCATAATTCAGTAAGCAACATCGAACACCGGCCACATTTCATAGGCGACCTTAACCCTGAATTTGAAATCTTTGGAATATTAATACTGGCTTTGAGCGGCGATATGGGGCATAGAGGGGTATTAAGTACTTGTAATTATATTTTCAAAAGTTGTGTCGTCCTTTAGAACTTTTACAAAGCATTTTTTTTGTAACTTTAGTATGTCATTAGCTTTTCACATAGTTCACCTTTGGAGGTCAAAGTCAACACACAGGTTTTTTGACAGGTCAAGGTCAACTAACAGTTACCCCTAAATCCGCGCTTTCCGCAAGTTTACTTTTACAAACAGTTATACCCTTTATACCAATACTCATTGGCAATATTTTATATTACTTATCGCAATCCTGGACGAGATGGACGCTGTCGTCGTTCCGTCGGTTGCAGTGTGCTCTTCGTAGAGGACGCGGGTGTTGTAAGAGAGAGAACCGCTCAGATCTCTCGCTCCTTTCACTCGGCTGACTATGCTGCTTTCTGCTGAGGGCGTTGCGAAGGTGACTCTCTCCTGTAATCATACGAGTAAATGATACTTTGAATGCACAACACATATGTATATATTGTTAAAAAAGCCAACTCCCGTACTAGGAGCATATCCTGTGTCGCGGGGGACATTACTAACGGACATAGAGAACATCTAGCCTCAGAACAATTTGTGTGGATCACTCAAAGTGGGGATGGAACCCACAACACTCAGAGCTTAGAGATTAGAAAGCGGCGAGGTGACCGCTTACCACTACGCCATCCGTGCAGTCAGTAGATTTAGTTCAGTTCATAGTTCAGTGCCACGCCCGGTGTTCAAGGCAGGGGAAAAAAGAAAGGTATTTTTTGTGTCATCTATATTTAATAACTGAATATAAAATTCTTGACTTGACCACATACGGTCCGGTAAAATAATCGGCCGCATGACAAAAGGGGCGATATGACCCTTACCGAAATATATTTGTGCCTCTCTCACACTCTCTGCTCATCTCCCGTTTTTAGGCTACAACGTCACAAGCAGTAACATGTCCATATTTGCCGAAAGCAAACCGTCAAAACTTTGTTCTATTTGTGTTTGTGCCCTTCCGTGACAAAATAACAGGTGAATTTTATTCTAAACTTTTTTGTATTATATTAAACAATTTGTAGTTGCGTCTTTATATTATAAAAAATTTAGTAAATATTTAGGTCTGATTCGATCGCTATATTGCCAAAAAAGTGAAGATGTTTTTTTGTACTATATGGGTTTTTTATGGACTATTTTGTACTATATATCAATAATAAATCTGTAAAATTCCACATTTATAACTTAAATAATAAGTTTTTTATTCGAAAAATAAGCTGGAACGTAAGAATCTTTAGACGCGATTTCCCAAAAAATTGTGATTTTAAGAAAAAAACGATGTACCTGGTAAAGATAAGGGTCGTCCACATAGAGTCAGGTCATGTGACCTTGGTGATGCAGACCGTGAAGACCTCGGTCTGCCCGAGTTGTTGTTGTTGCGGGTCTCATCAGAACGTGCACCACGACGAGGAGAACGGCCACTTAACAATTCCTAAAAATATAAAAACGCATAAAAAACTTTATCTTAAAAACCCACAGGAAAATTTTGGAGGAACTGAGAACGAGGGCAAATTATAATATGTGGTATTTTAAAGCATTCATAGATTAAGTACAAATAACACACATTAAGCAAAAAAAAATTCAAAATATTTTAGTGTTCGAAAACTATCTTGAATATGTTACGCTCATAGACCGAAAGCGCTCATGAGCAAAAAAACAGTAAATAACGTGTTGCGGTCACTGCAAAAACCCCATCGGGATTCGTGTTATGGTATACTTATCAAAACGCTCACGACGTATTGTGGCAATTAGAAAAAGATCACGTAACTAAATTGGTGTCGTGGCTATCGACGACCACAATGCGTTGTGGCAATGAAGAACAGTTATGACCACTCTCTGATCAGTAATTAGTGATCGACATAACTTTTATACGACGTTGTGAGCGTTCTTTTTAGCTTAATGATCACTCGGTCTTTGAGTATAACATATATATGCTATAGGTATGTGTAAAAAGCAACAAGTATTAAAGCATAGGTAAGTATGAATGTTAGTAACCTTTTCTTGCGAATTGACCGAGAAAGCGCTGAACGACACCGGACTGTCTCCGGCGAAGTCGAACGCGCTCGACGCACGGTACGACAGTGTGTCTTGAAGCGGGAAAATATTTGAGGTTAGAATTATTATTACTTAGTTAATTATAGTGATACTTAGCATATAAGGTTGGCTTTTGCATGAAAGCTGATAGATAACGGTTAAGCGAGAGGTATCGAAAGTCCTAATGTCTTAATAAAAACTGTTCCTGAATCCAACTGAAGGAACAAAATGAAGGACGGATACAGGAACAGTTTACACCGTATAGTTTTAGGTAGTTCGATTCTACCCCAAAATCACGGTGGGATAATGACACGACGGGGTTTCCAAGCACACAAAAAAAATCGGGAGTGAGCTTTCGATACCTCTCGCTTCTGATAAAGAATAAAAAGCGTTGATTTCCACCATTCGCTTTAGAATATGATCAGATATATTAAAAAGTGAGCGAAAATTAATGATTCTTCAATGATATATTTAAGTAGGAGGTTACTTATATATATATATATATATATATATATATATATATATATATATATATGGAAGTAGACTCCTTTCAACAGAGAGGCCTATGTAAAGCAGTGGATTATTAAAAGCTGCTGATGATGATATATAAATATGTAAGAAGTATTACGGCCTAAGAGAATTGCCAATCGCGATTATTATGTCCAAATAAGTTAAGAAGGCGAAGAAATTCCTGCCGGAATTCTAGAAACACGACTAAGGAAGTATGGTTACACAGAACTATTAGCGAAGCATATTGTTTCTGTTGGTGACACGACTTGTTTTAATTGTATACTTTGCATAGAGAGAAGAAATAAACCGATGGTTTAGATAATAACAAACATTTGGTGCCAAACCTTTAATACGGAATGGCAGGTATTCAAAAATAACGAAGGGTTTAGGAACTGTATCTAAGCCTAACTCTGCAGTTAGATTAACCTAAAAGATGTAGGACAGGGCTGGCTATAAATAAAACATTACTTTTACAATTCAACCTTTTTCCTTATTTACGACTTTACTACTACTATGGTTTTAATACTATATCCTTGACAATGTCAATCATGACGGTAAGTGAATGTCGTAACAAAACTGCGCTGTCGGATTCTGAGGCAATATTAAGCAGTATATCGGAGGCTATTACCAACCGATTCCACATCATCATCGCCGTGTTCAATGAACTGAAAATAGACCAACGCTGATGACTAATAAATAGGTACGTCATGGAAAGGAACTCGGGCATAACCAGCATCTAACGTTGAATGAAATACGAGTATATGGTCACGGATGTCTTAACCACAGCAAGAAAAGTGGCTTTGTTTTACATTGGATACAGCCGCTGGAAAAGGGCTCAGTAGATGATGTATCCGTATTTGGAGTATACGTCCTTAAGAGTAAAATATCATGGTGGGAATAATATTAAAAGAAATTGCCTTCGAAACTTCTTTTTACCAGTATACAGGTACATCTAGGGTCATGTTATCTATGTATGTGGCATAACTGTAGTTAAAGCCAGCAAAAGCAGTTGTCTATTAAAAAGTCAAATTATTAATTAATTTTATATATCTGTCTCTTGGTGAATCATATAATTTCGAAATTCTAGCCAAGAATTCAGAAGAATAACAAAACATAACATCCACTTATATATCCAAAATTATGTCTATATCACAGCACATAATGCCTTAGAAGAAACAGCATAATTCCCGCCAAAGAGAAGAATCGTTGGGGTATTTTTTTTTCTAAACACTGAAAAACTGTTCACCACTGTCCAGACCATCCTATTTTATATCAACAAAATTAATATCTTTCGTAGATATTTTCTTTATTTTGTATATAGACAAAAATCGATAGCTGAACATCGGCTGGTTATTACACAAATTCTGTAAGTTTACACATTCGCCATAGTAGATTACACTTTTTAGTCTTCGTAGTTCCTAATTTTAAGGCAGATTTTACAAAGAATTAAGAGATTATGTTACTTAAGGCTTCACATGAGCAATTGTTTACATTTTTACCGACTACAAAAAGATGTTGAATTCGACTGAGACATTTTGCGCGTTATATCATATGTGAGTCAATGTAAGCCGATTTTAATATTTTTCTTTTGATTTAAGTGAATTTATTTGAGTGATTCCATTATTAAAAAAATCACCTGCTAGCGTGAACCTTACGCTACTAATATTTTAAAAGTAAAGTTTGTTTATTTGGTTGAAGCGCTAATCGCAAGAAATGGTTCGAACTAAAAAAATTGTTTTAGTGTTAGCCTGTTCAGTATTAACCCGTTTATCGAATAAGGCTATATAATTTATAGAAAAAATTATTCCTTTGGAGAGATAAAGCTACGCGGGAGAGCCATGCTTCGGCACGAATGGGCCGGCTCGACCGGAGTAATACCACGGCCTCACAGAAAACCGGTATTAAGCAATTCTTTCGTTGCCTTTCACTGAGTGGGTGAGGTTACAGGAGCCCAAACCCCCCTCCCGCTGACTCGAGCGGGAGGGACTCCAAGGGCAGCAACGCACTTGTGACTTTTGAGTCCATGGGCGACGGTAGTTGCTTACCAGGAAAACTTGAAACAAACCCTATACCAACCCGTCTGGCCAGCTTAGTATAGTAGGCCAAAACCTCCTTTCTAAGGACAGGCCTATGACCAGTAGTGGACTATTATGGGCTGTTAATGATGTTGACGTTGTTAGGAAGTTAACAGTAAACAGCTTACTTTATAGTTTTACGCTAAATTAGAACAATACTAGCGTTTTTACCAAATAATTACGTTATAGGTGGTTTAATTTAAAAAAAAAACCCGCCGGCTCGCCTCTACCACTCCTTGTAGATACTAGTTTTTATTTTCAAATTAGTTTTGAAGAAATACCGAGTCCAAGAGTAGTAAACATGAACAAGGCTGTCATTATCTTCTGATAAATATTTTAGAAAAAAAAACTAGTTATTCACTTATGGGTATAAAACGTAATAATACTAATCCACGTTAATCCATACTTATTTTAAAATATTATAAATTTAAAAGTGAGTTTGTTTGTTACGCTTTTATACCTAAACCACTAAACCGATTTTAAACATTCTTTCACCAATGGAAAGCTACATTATCAGCAAGTAACATAGCGTACTTTAACAAGACATATACGAGGGCGGAGCCGCGGGAAAAGCTAATAATAAACATAAATCATCTTGAACTCATAATGTGCAAACTAATCAGACATTCACTTAATACCCCAGATAGCAATGTAAACATTAAATCAAACCGTTACGTAGATAACAGCTATCAATCTATAGATATATGAAACTAAATCGTTATCACCAGCTCAGTTACACCATAAAAAACTCCATTAAAATCCGTCGTGACATTTCTATGAAAAAAACACACTTAAAGAGGAATTCTTGTCTGAGGTAAGCTCCTGTGTTAGCCACCAGGGGAGTTTCTCTGGTGGTCGGGCGCATAGAGGCGCTGGGCGCCTTTACGGGTGGCCTTGGAAAAAACGGAGGCCCTATTGTTCCATCGGCCCCGCGTAACAGTGTCCACATGTAACGGACACAAAGAACAGCCAGACTCTGAACGGCAATTTGTGGCTCACACAAAGTGTTGTCCCATGGAGGGATCAAACCCACAACACGGAGGAAGCGGCGAGGTGACCGCTCAAACTACTACGCCATCCGTGGAGTCAAATTCATTCAGTTATTCATTGATAGTTAAGATTAAGTTCAATGACCGTTCACTTCTAGCTGCCCTCCAACTTATTTACCTAATTCAAATATCTATAGGTTAAAAAAAATTGTACAGGGGAAATTATAGCGCACCAGGGGCTTCCTTTCTAGGGTATACCTGGTTCCCCGGCTATTAGTACCCGAGACGGCGTGCGGATTTAGTCGGTTCGAGTCCGACATGCCACCGATAGGTGGTATCCGAGGGGATTTCCGCACGAAAAAAAGGGGGGAAATTATAGTCCGGAAATTAAGTTCCGTTAAATTCGTCTGCGAAGTTATACTTGCGAAGGAGACCAAAGGCGGGAACGTGAGATCTTTAGAATTATCCAGGTGTGCCAGGTACCGCAGACGCCTCGGTATCCAAAGAAATTCCCGCACAAGAAAGAAAAAAGAAATAAATCAAATTTGACTATAACTTGAGAAGGGAATAAGTTAAGTAATTTCCTTGCTTGATGACAAATCGCATCAAAAAATAGTATTTTACAGATTTTGAATTGTGTAACTTTCGCAAAAAAATAAAATAAGTTGTGTTTCTTTAAAACCCAGCTTATAGATAGAAAAAAGGACTATTAGCAATAGAATGATAATAATATATTAGTTAACAGAACTTTACAAATTAGGTAAATACTTAATACATTTAATAACAGTTATCACAATCCTTTTTAGTGTTGCCACAAAGAAGAATGACTTTTTTTTGTTATATTTGGTAGTTATTTTAATTTGTAATGGTTTACCATGTGGCCAGCAGCTGGTCGGTGGGGGAGACCGTATCATATGTTCATGGACTTCCTTCAGGGTGACTGGGTCATCTTCAATGAAGTCTAAGGCTGTGCTTCCAAATTCCTGCAGAGCAAAATATATTTTAGTATTTAAGTTAGATTTCAATAATTTTATACATATCATTGGCCTCTTGCGTCTATTCCAGACGATTTAGTTACTGTTCCGTAGCCATACACCGTGTTTCGTGGCGTGTCGCTCCAGAATTGGCTTACATAGCCAATTCTGGAGCGACAGGTTCTCTCGCACACTGCCCTAGAACTACCGGTTTGTGGGTCGTTGTTAGCTCTTTGACGTTTCACTCTCCTTTATATATATATAGATGTATATTATTATCGGCTATTTAGCGAAAATTTCGTAACCGTTGATAGTCGAGTGGTTAAGGCGTTCAACTGCACTGAGACAGGTGTGAGTTCTATTCTCACTTCATCCTTGGGTTATTTCTCTGTTCTTTAATTGCTTACAAGCAAACGGAATATGTGATGGTAAGTGACTACTGCAGCTCATTAACAACTACAAATCAAGAGTCACAAGTGCATTGCCACCGTTTAAGACTGCCCCGCCCCAATCAAAGGGAATGGGGGGGGCGAGATATGTGGTCTGGCTAACTCACTCCCTCGATGAAAGCAAAGAATGGCTTAACATCGGTTTTCTGTGAGGCCCTGGTATCATTACGAAAGTCAATTCTCGTAATACAAGTTCCGTCAAAATTCAGAACTGTCATAAATTATATTTTCGTAGTAAAGTATTAAACATCCAATGTTGACTGTCTATCAGTCTGTTACCAGGGTATAGAATCTGCCAAATTTTGGCATCCGACAGCAATGTGCAAGTTCTCAAGTTGTTATTACAATGCCTAAATATGATTAATTCATCCATGTGACGGATTAAGAATACAGAGTTTCACTACCCCTATTCAACCCGTGGCTGTCGTAAAAGCGGACTAAGGGAACTAACTATGCAAGACAACAGAACTGCAAAGAGAAATAAAACTTGACACAAACCCTATACCAACCCATCGAGCCAGCGTGGTATAGTAGGCCAAAACCTCCTTGCTAAGGAGAGGCCCATGTCCAGCAATGGACTGTTGATGATGGTGATGATGAAATATGATTATTTAAAATGCTATTCTCACCTGAGACATCAGAATTGTATCATCTGATTCACACTCCTCATGATGACTTTCAATTAAACTCTCTCTGCTTGCCATCACTTGCTGCAAAGTAATAATAATATTTATCAGAGAAATATGATAAGATACCTAATTTTAGAGATACGGAGCCTGATTTGTAGCATACCTTTTATATTAAATTGTATTTAAGACAGTTGTGGGATAAACATCTTTTTTTTTATTATTATATCTAACATTAATTTTGATTTACGGTCACCAACAACAAATCAATTAATAAACTAAATATGTAATAATGAACACATAATATATTATTATAATACCACAACATACATTATTGTTGTATTACATGTGTTGTTGTACAAAAATAAGGCTATCTACATTTCTTTTACAGTGTTACACAACTATAGTAACCAGACTGTTGATAAACATTAAACATACTAATATATTTCTAAATATATACATATTATAAATAAATTACACCCAGGCACAGAATAAATCATCATGCTCATCACACAATATTTGTCCTGGGTCCACAACCTTCAGCTTAGCAGTCAGGGTCACTAACCACTAGACCAACAGGCTTATCAAGACAATTATTAGACAACTATATCTTGGTATTATATTGTGTTGAATGTAAAGTTTATAATTACTCAAAGTCAAAAGTTAATGTTAAAATAGATAAAAATTGAAACCACTGAAATTGTCTTACAGATATCATATGAAAATTCTGAAAAAAATAACTTTCAAAATGGCTTAAGTGTTTTATAAATTAAGTGTTTGATAATACCCATTAACTTGTAATATATTTTTAAAAGAAACAATGGGTAGTATTGATTGCATAATGTTATTGCAATAAAGTGTAACATCTTAGAGGCAAAAAATAATAATTTGATTATTTTTATAATAAACAGTCTACTGGCAAGAATTTTAGTACCATATTTAATTAATTTTATTATTTTTGTAGTTCACAATGATTTTTCTTATGAATAACAACAATATAAAAAGAAGTTCTATAATTTATAGCAACTCAAGTACTAATATTGTAATTGTTACACCTAATGTACATTAATATGCATTCATGCATTAAAATATAATAGAGAAAAAAACAAATAACTGCAAAAATATAATAAAACATAGAGGTGTAATAAACAAATTTATAGTTTCAATTAAAGCAGATATTGTTTGTTGATTTTATAATTACTTCCTGTCTTTACATAATATGCTAAAACAAGCAATTTCCACACTCATTCACCTACTAGACTACAACACATGTTTACAGTTAGGTACTTGACCAACTTGCTGAGTTATCTCAATTACATAGATGAAGGATAATAAATAAATATTAAACTTCCTGATACCTAGTGTTATTGTGATATTTATTATTGACGCGCAAATTGCAAACAATACAGCCCTGTTATTATGTAAGCTATACCTGTAAGTAAGGATTGTCTTGTCGAGACAGTCTGAGCGCCTCCATGTCTTGTGCGATGTTTCTCGTTCGTCCAGGAGTCAAAAGCACAGCTGGAGAACCAGTCAGAGGCGGGGGTAACACTGAATTATATGAAAACACGCGAGTTCAGTAGACGAACAAATATTTTATTACATTTCACTTTTCAACGGCTATATTCTACTTACCCGACAAAGTATCATTGGAAGCCTCCATTTTGACGCTAAAAATACTTTGCATTTAGACAATTTATCAGTATCTTGAAGAAAAATCCATCAAAAAGGCTCTTTGAATTATTTAAAAGGCAATGCTATTTAGTTAACACGATAAATGAATCACTTTATTTATACAAATATTATAAAAGATATATCCACGTATGTTTTGTATTGTAATTAATTGTTTATTTGCTACTTTTATCCATTTTTATTATTTGCGATATGAACGATGGAAAACTGATAACGATTGACTATTGACTTGACAACTTGATTTGATGGACAAGGAGTAACTTGACGGCCATGTTATCGGTTCTGAAACAGAATGTATGGTATTTTTATGTTTGTTGAAAAACAGCAAGCAAGAAGCTTGAAGATATAATATAAGCACACATCGTGTCATTTAACTTACTATTAGAATTATTGTACCCGTCGTTAGTTCTAGAGAAACATTGATAATAATATGTCCATGTAAATTCTATTTTATATTTATAAATAGATTTTTCCCACAAAAGGTTATATTACGGAAACGGATCACTCAGTCGAATAATTGTCTTCACAACAATCACAACCTCACTGTGCATTAAGAATAATGTCACCCCATACCGCAGTGTGGGTGAGATTAGCCTCAACACACTGTCTTAACATAATATTATCCCAAAGGGATACACAAGAAAATAATCATCCCCATTACGTGTAGGGAAGATACCCTATTTTACCACTGTTTCAGCGTGACAATTTATGTACGCCAATGCATAATACGGGTGAATGGATAGACTGACATGCGGCAACTATAGGATTTCTGGATAGGAACCTTCAACCTAGTTATTCAGTTTTGGATAGCACCCATTTGAAGATGAAATCAATTTAATTTTATTTTTAGTTAATTTCTTGTGATTACATTGCATCAACAGCCTTTAGTAGTCCACTGCTGGATATAAGCATCTCCTTAGAAAGGAGGTTTTGGCCTACTACACCACGCTAGCTAGACGGGTTGATATAGGGTTTGTTTCAAGTTTTCCTTTTCCTTGCAGTTTGCGTAGTTTGCTCTTGCGTTAGTCGGCCCTTACGACATCTACGAGATGAACGGGGCTGGTGACACTCTGTATTCTTAATCCCTCACCATACGAACGGATTATAATTACTAAAACATATCTTTAAGACGGTGCCCCTTGTGACCTTTCTTGTCTCGAGAGGTCTTATTTTTTACATATAAACGTTCCCTATAAAACCCCTGTATAAAATATTTTCTTTCCTTTCAGTCCTTTTGTTAGTTATTAATTAATCACTAACAATACCGATAAAAACATTTAAAACGCGCCCTTTGCACTGATTTAAATAAAATGTACTTGTCTTTCGTAATTTTATCCGACTTCCAAATATGTTATGTTCCACGCGTCACGTACTATTCCCGGCAAAGATTTACCACATTTTAATCTTGACTATAGATGTTAAACAACCGATTTAAAACGTTTTAAATAAAATGTTTTAAACCCCAAATAAATCGTTTTAAACGGTTGAAAACTCGCCCACGAAAATAAAAGAACTGTTTTACACGTCATTTTTAGTCACCTGACGTCATGCTTCGTTTTAATTAGTTTATAGACAATCAATGGAATGTACCTACCTACCTAAATTACCTACTACACAAGAACTTGTGTATACTACCTATATTTATTGTCCACCACCTGTCCGTGTGGTGACGGATTAAGAATACAGAGTGTCACCACCCCTATTCATCCCGTGGGTGTCGTAAGAGGCGACTAAGGGAGAAAACTACGCAGGACAACAACACTGCAGAGAGAAGGAAACTTGAAACAAACCCTATACCAACCCGTCTGGCCAGCATGGTATAGTAGGCCAAAACCTCCTTTCTAAGGGGAGGCCTATGTCCAGAAGTGGACTATTAAAGGCTGTTGATGATGATATTTATTTATCATATTAGACTATAATGCACACAATAGATTAGAAGAGATCATTAACACAATACCGTCAGTTTAACTTGCGCATGAAAGATACGTTATGTCTTCAAAGCCGAGCGCCTAAGCGCGAGTGCGAGAATGTGTTTGGTTTTAAACCGAATCACATTATTTATTAATATTATTTAACGGGAATTAACGCGATCTCTTATTTAGGGTATTACATACCTCTGGTTTGCCTGACGTTTCGATCAGGTTGCACCGGCCGTGGTCACAGGCTGACTCAAAATGGTTGATTACGGTTTAAAACGCTTTTTTCGTTTTAAGCGGATGGGTTTTAAGCCGGCCTTACATCTATAATCTTGACACAGGCATCTAGCCTTCTAATACAGAATTTAACACCAAAATCTTTAATAGTCACGACGGGTAATTACTAGTGATGTGCTGGAAAATAGTCAATCCTGACCAATCGGTTTTTCCAAGACCAAGATTTTCGATATATTACCTGAAAATTGATCCGTTTTGTACATATTAAATTTGTTGATACCGATCCCATAAATAGCAAAAACAATAGCCATTTTCATAGGCATGTGGCCCTTTTGCTCTAATGTCTCCCGCTTTAATATGGCATGAAACGGTTTCCCAAATTTAATTTATATTTAGGTAAACAAATATATTTGTATTTAGTAGATAGATATATTTATATTTTTTATTATATGATCGAACTAGGGGGATACCCTCGACGAAACCGATAAAAATATTTTCTATGTAGCTAATATTAATCACACTGTGTGATAACATCTTTATGCTTTACTTTTATTTAAAGGGATCCTGATGAGCGAATGAGTTCACGGGGATCCCATGGAGGATCGAACTTGGTGAACGAATTCTATATTACACTGTTGTTGCCATGTACAACACCTGTTAAACAAAAATGTCATATTGTTTTAAAAATCTATATTTTACACGAGGATATAAACAATCCAGCAAACACTACATTACCCCTGGTTATTTGTCAATGTGCCAATAATTGTTTTGGCAGATTATGGTAAATTTAAGGAAGGAAAAATATAAACACAGTTTTGTGAACACAATATATGAATTTATTAATGTGAACAAAGGCACAACCTTGCTTATGAAGGCACCTCTATTGTGATACTGTTCTAAGAATGCGACAACATCGTAAATAACTCTTTCAGCGTCTATCATTTCAAAGAATTTATCAAAGCAAGGATTATTTACATTATTATAATTTATGCGATTCATTGTCATGTCAGATTTAGAGCAATAACAGTTTATTAAATCCATTGTTAAGACTAGTTTGAATTAAATTTACATATGAAAAAATGTATTATTAATATATTATCATAATTTGTTCGTTTTTATAGTTCGTTGTCTGTTAGCACGAATTGTGCGGCACTACCGTAGTCAAGTATTCTGCTCTTGATTCCCTTCAGCTTGTCAATGTAATGTTTGTGTATCTTCGTGTTTGTCCTCTTGTAGCGGAGGGCTGTTATCATCTTATCAACAGTGTAATGCAGCCAAAGGATGTTTGTGTACGGCTCGAAGTTCTTCCAATCATTTCTGTCAATTGAAACAATACATTATTAATAACGCTTACTATGACTATGATAACAGACAACACATGTTGATCTGCAGTATATTGTCCTTGAGATAATTCTGTGACACTATTTGCAATACATTGACTGATTACAATTGATTTATAACCAGTGGGATCACATTTATATTCTACACATTTAAAAATGTGTGTAATAGAATGAGGTTATTTTAGTTTGCTAATATTAAGCCTGATTTTGTGCTATAACTACTGTACATTTTGGTAAAGTTTCGAGTTTAAATATTCAATAAAACAACACAACAGAAGTAGTTTTTTTGAAAGACGCTTTTGTTGATTATTGTCTTTATGTTGTTGAAGAACATTTTCAAGTGATTCGAGTCCATTGTAACTAAACCTTCGTTAACCAAAGGGTACAACCAAACTTTAAAACCATTTTATAATGGCTTTAAAGTTTATTCCATATTTACATTTTAAATCTAACTTTCATTTGAGTTCTTGTACAGTATTTTTTGAATTCTTCAAGAGTAGCACTTTGTTCTGGACGAAAGATATTTCTAATCTTTTTTTATGCTATCCTTGGTCAACAGAGTTTTATAGAGTCACCGTTTTATAATATAATGGGGACAGTTCGGCGGCTAAAGAACAGAGAGCCAAGCGCCGAAATAAACTGGCACTCGGGCCTCAAAGTGAAGTAGAGCGTACCCCAGCTTGTCCCTCATGAGCCTGTAGACGGTGAACTGGTAGTCGCCCAGCGCGTCAAAGAGCGAGTCGTCGGCGGCGAGGTCGTTGTAGAGCGCAGCGGAGTCGCCGGGCGCCAGGCGCAGCGCCACGCGCGACAGCGAGTAGTCGATGATGGCGCCGCGCACGCCGGCGCGACCCACGCGAACCACGCGTCCGCGGATCACGAACGTCGCCCACTGGAACGGACATTGGAACAATATACTACACCGCAGATACACATCACGACACTCTCCTTATTACTTATAAAGCGACGGAAAGGTTGTGATACAAGCGAGCATCGATTTGGAATTGATCTCACAGAAAGTAATACCTAAAAAATATTTTGTTTTTTTTTGTTGATCATACTCGTAATATTCAATTTACACAAAAAGTTTAAAAAAAAAATATAACTGTCAAAATACACTACGCCTTGACTGGTCCCATGTTCGAAAGTGGAGATAAACTATAGCTTTAAGCAATAAGGAATACAATTCAATTGCTTTAAACGTTTCTATCACGTCTTTCAGGATGCAGGCGTAAATTAAATATCTTCTAATAATACGATATTAATTACATATTTGTTTTTATTTTTTCTTTAGTTTTTATTTTTTATTATGTATACATTGTACAATGTACACATTGTAACCTGACATATTATATCGATATATGCCTACAGAACTAATAAATATAGAAAATATGTAATATTGTTTACTAAAAATTATTATAATCCACTTCTGTATGTAACCATAATATAAGTCTTTCAGATCCTAGTATCATGTTATATGTATGAAGATGTGTAATAAAAAAATTGGACAAAACAAATGTTCATATAATTGTTTACACACAAAACAACACTTTAATTATTATATATATGATAATTACACACAAATATTGCCTATCAGAAACTATAAAGTTCACATAGTTTCAGACTAGGTCAAACGAAACATTCACAGGCCCACAGGCCGCTAACAGTCCAGTGTCTCCTCATTACACAAATGAAACCTTTGTTAAGACAATAATATCGTGAACTTTGTAGAGGTCGTCCGGACAGAGACATCTAAGTTTTAGGTCGACAACCTCTGTCTGCAATCTCAAATAAAATTACGTATATCAATTTAAACTGAATCAGAATGATAAAACCCTAGCGTCATCATTAGTTCCATGGCATACATGACATTGTAATTCTATTGTCAGTTTAAATTCTTAGCAAGTTAGAGAAAATAATAAGAGTATTATATAATAGGTTCGGTAAATCAAAGGGCGTACACAAAGATACCTACCCTGATATTATTCTTAGCCATAATCCGAGACGATTTTCAGCCGTTGGAAGATCTTCAGCTGTTTTCTAAAAGAATGTTTGTTCATTGGATGGATATTTGTCCCATTTTGAGAAAAATAATATCCTTAATTAAGGATGAAAAATTTAGGAATATAGTTTATAACAGTTATGATGTGATACTTTTCAAGTTATTGTTATACTTAATACCATAGCAATTTTATATGGATCCTATTTTATAAATGCAAAAAGATGCATAGTTTTCTAGTCGACTGCATTTTGTAAGTAACAGTTTATAGAAGGGTTTACAAGATATTTGAAGTACAACATATAATCGTAGATCAAACCACCCCTATTCGTCACGTAAGTGTCGTAAGAACCGACTAAGGGAGCAAACTTAGCAAAGAGAAGAAAAAATTAACACACCCTGTACCAATCCGTCTGGTCCAGTCCTGTACCAATCCAATGGTATGGTAGGCCAAAACCTCCTTTCTTTGGAGAGGCATATGTCCAACAGTGGACTAATAAAGTCTGTTGATGAAACGTGTACCACACGTTTCATCAACAGACTTTGTGCGTTATCGCAATTGTATCAACAAACAAACTACCTTGGTGTACTCACGTGACTAAACATAAACACCAATACCTTAATCAGAATGACTTTGCAATGCGCTAATTATAATAATTTTATTTAACTGTGTATAAATGCGCTTATTGATTCCTGTATCAGACTATCAATGGACGACTGATGGTTTATCTTATATAAAGGCACTCATTCAATCTTATATTCAATAATAATTATTATCGTTCCCCATCTGTTATCAAAATCTCTTTTAATTAATTCTTATCAGAGAAAGATATATACCATAACTTCTACATCCCCCAAAGAGGTAGACAGAAGCAAATTAAACGCTTGCGTTTTTTCGTTTAAAATTTTGGTCCCTTTAAGTGATAGGCGCAAGCACTGGGTGTCCTTTGTGTCCGTTTCATGTATATTTGTAAAGTCCCCCGCTACACAGGATTTAATCCTAGTGCGGGAGTTGTCTTTATAAAAAAACTAAAGTTTAGGAAAAAAAAAGAGTAAAGCTAAGAATAATACGGATAAATTGAGGAGCGGAAGCAATAGCTCGAACTGCGGTCGAGGTAATTATTCCAACTTGCTGTTGACGAGAAGTCTTAACTCTCAACTTAACGGTTAAAATTCAAGTGTTATAAAAGAGACGAAGACATATGGGTCCACACACCTTCAGTTTTATCTGTGCGATAAAACTGATTTATCGTATGTCCCTACAGCCCCGTACACATTCGTTTTTTTCACACGCACGCTTCGATTACCGATGCAGTTTAAACGGATTTTTCGTAGCGTGTGTCCACGTCCATTACAGTAGTCATTGTTGTTAAATTTGTAAATTAGCCTCCGTCTCTCAAAAGGAATATTTTTTCTTGTTTTTGCAACATTTTTGCAAATAAATAAATAACCTATAGCCTTCCTTGATAAATCCAGCGGCAGATATATTTTTTGACAAATCTATCGTAATGTATAACAACGTGTTACTCTTCCTAAATAATATAGTAAGGTAAGGTACAGGTATTGGTCGTTCAACCTTCTTTCTAAAGAGAGGCCTATGTCCAGCAGTGGACTATTAAATGTGATGTGATGAAGGTACAGGTAATTAAGTTTAAGTGATATTAAAAGATCTCATTTTAAAACTGTTGTTTGTAATTTTTTATTGTAATTGTAATGTTTTATTGTGTATGTTAAAATTTTACTATCGGATATTTTGTCTGTGTGTATTTTATTTTGTATGTTTAGTACAGATAGATATAAGCGATTTGGTAGTATATACTGTGTAAAATTATATTCTATGAGTGAGTGAGGATATGGCTAGGAAGGAACGACAGTGAGATGAGTAGAATGGAAGAATCACTCATAATGCGCCGACCCCAAATAAAATTGGGGTAAGGGTAGCAGATGATGATGAAGTATAGATTTATAGCCTGTCAATATGAATCACAAGCTATGTATCGATTTATTGCCTTTGTCGATATGACATCACAAGGTATTACTTTATACAAGGTTCTACAGAACATAACATTATATAAGGAGAAACGCATTTCAATTGAAAATAAAGACTAGGGTAGAGAATAAATAGCTAAACAATAAAACCATTGTGAGTTACTAATTTCCTCTCGGCCCCGTAAATACGATCTTGGACATAGAGATTGCAATCTATACAAATAAATGAAATCTGTTTGTGATATCATAACAGCTATTTACTAAATGTTTAAATAAATATGTACCCGTTGCTTGCTTATACAAAAAATGTATGATTGTTTCGACTAATATTTAGACTTCATCTGTCAGATAGCTAGGAACATATTCAATATCCCAATATTCAATTTTTAACATTGTTTGGAAAAGAATGATTAAAAACCATTGTTAATTAATTACTGCGTGAAATCTAGAGTGCGAGGGAGGCCTTGGCATATACCAGACTGGACAAGGGGAGAAGGGGAAAAATTGTAAAAGTTACGTAAAGGGTTTTATTCCCCAAGGGGACCTTTCTTTATTTTTTGGACCGACCTGAGGTTCTGAGAAAACCACAAATATAAGCGAGCAAAGTCGTGAACTAACTCAGCTAGTTTCTAAATTCGTAATTTCACGTAAAATCCCGGGCAATATTGCGAAACACTCGAGGCGCGTCCTATCGGGGTCGTTCAACCATCACCCCGAGTTCTCGAGACATTTAACCGACAATGTCGTCTACCTTTGGCTGGTTGATTGACATTTCGGCAAGGTCATTCATGTACAACACATGTTCTGCGTGCAACGATAGCATGTTACGTGAATTTATATTATGATTATGTAGATAAGTAATTAAAGATAGTATATTTCTGTTGTTAAATCTCTACATATAAAATTACTCGCCCTGACTGACTAATTCATCAACGCAGGGCCTGGCATCAACCACTGGGGCTACCAAGTGGAAATTTTGCTTTTTACGTTGTAAGCACCCACTAAGAAAGGATTGTTGGAAATTCCACCCTAGTGGAAAAAATAAGAGATGATCGGCTATATGGAAGTTCGTAATTTCCAAAAGTTAAAACACGAAACAAAAAATAATCATGCCAGCTAGTTGTTAATAATAGCATTATAAAATATCATCAGTATATGATAGTTTTAATTAGATAATAGGTTTTCTACAAAAATCGACGTGATTACCATCTATTTGGATCAGATTAATAAATTGATTTATCAGGTCTGATCGGGTGTTACAATTAACGATATTTTTTTAATTAATGTCAAGAAATTTATCAAATTACTTGGCAATAGTAACGTATCACTATACATACTATCGGTAATATGTTTTAAATTGACTATGATAAATTAATTCTTGATTAATATGGACTTTTCTACCTTTTGCATTTCTATTGTATGGTAAAATTTAAATAGGCAAGTAACTGCAAGTTGCTCAATTACTACCTCTTAAAATCGTAACTGGAATACTCAAGTCCTAGCCTGGGTGTTAACTATTATGGAGATAAATATTGTTTTAAAGCAAAAATACTCGTGAAATAAGTTATTGGTTAAATCAAGATAACGTATCTGCATGGAATTTATACAAGAATAAAGCAATCTGGAAATTGCACTTAATTATGTTGAAGCATCCTAAACAGCCAATTAGTAAACGTTTCCTAATTAGTTACAAATACTAATTAGCGTAAATAGCTCGTAATGGCCTAATTAGGAACAATATGACGGGCAGTTTCTTATTTAAAAATGATAAAGCAACTGGTATTTATATTATCAATGGCAAATTTCTATGAGTAACATATTTTGCTTGTAATCCTTTAGCATAAATTATTTCATAGTATGTTAAGGACATCTATAAAAACAGTGCTTGTCCTTATACAGTCGTATTATTTTCACTGCTCTAGTGCTGGGCTAATGCTACTATACAGGGCCTCAATTCTGCTATTTTAATATTGTGTTAATACTGTTGATGGAATGTCGTCGAAATAGTTTTGCACTTTTCCTATTCTACTAAGTAAGACCAATGGCCTGGATGACTTGTCACTGTTTATGTTTATGTTTAGACAGATGTCAATGGCGTCTCAATAGTGTCAATAGAATGACAGTGGCTTGGCGTTTACATAAAATAGCAGAATTGAGGCCCTGCTGTTCATTCGTTATTTTCTTTTGGAACAGTCTATTGAGAATGTAACTGTGCCAGACTATGTAAATGGGATTCGCTATCAGAAAAAAAAAGTAGACGTATGTAATCTCTTTTCCATTAGATTTTAGCATTTGTTATTAGTTTAATAAAAACTTATCTTCTGTAAGCAGCTGCTTATAATGTCTATTCAAAAGTCAATATTCACTATTGCAAAATCATTAAAAAACACCTTTCTTCTACAGTTATGAATAATTAAATTAATCAAAGATTTATACTAAATAACACAATCATTGTACTATTGAAGTACTGTGATTCACCATTTGAGTCCTTTGTAATTTTCATAATGAATCCCTACTATTAAAGAATAATAAACCCCAATAATATGTTCTATTAAAAATGTTAAGAATGTTAGGCAAACCGATTATAACATCTAAAATAATGCCTTTTTATATAGCGAACATTTTCCTGTATTATGTCAATACAAAAATATAATGTGCTGAATCACGATAACTGTTTAGACCATCTACACTGCATATCATCTCGCAACCTACCTTTATCTTAATGGTAGTGGAACATCATCATCTAAAAATATTGCTAACATATATGTATAATAATAATAACCTCACACATTTCACACACCCGTCTAATCCCAAACTAGGCAGAGCCTGTACTATGGTAACCAGACTGCTGATAAACATTCTTATATATTTCTAAATACATACATATTTTAGATAAATGACACCCAGACACAGAACAAATCATCGAGCTTATCACACAATTATTTGTCTTAGGTGGGAATCGAGCCCACGACCTCTGGCGCTTAGCAGTCAGGGTCACTAACCACTAGACTAACAGCCCGTCGAGCGCCGTATATTTGCCGAGCAAAAAAATTGGTCTTTACCTTCTGCTCAGTGGGGGCTATCAGGATGTTCCCCCAGTGAAGATCACGGTGCTCAAACTGGTACGCCTCTTCGGCAACTGCCAGACCATACGCCACCTACCACACAATGTCAAGTTAATATACATAGTTAATAAGTATCTATATTTGTATACACATATAATAACATTCATAGTTAACAATAGCAGCGTTGTTAAATATTTTGGATTAAAATGTAAATACAGATTTAAACAAGCAATTAGTTTGGAAGGTTCAACAAATGGGCAAGTTGTTTTGACCATTTAAATAACATGTACATATGAACAATGTTGGTATGAAGCTTAACCATTAAAATATTACTTTATTCATACCCAATTAACTTTAATAGTAAATATATGAGTTTAATGAATACAAAATACATATTGTATCATTTTATTATTTAAGATAAACGTTTTTGTTTATTCTAAACGCTACTGAGACAGGCGTTGATTTACTACTTTCTCTGTTTATACAGTCATCAAAAGATGATAAGATTACATACCAACACATTTTATTTAAGTATGTATATTTACTACATAACTTTAGGAACTGAAAACACAAATAATGCATTTTTTTAGATATTAGCAGACTAGTCGCTTTCATAATTCTACTTATTACAAGAAAAAATCAAACAAAATTATAAACCTGCAAAACTTGGGAGGTATAACAATAAAAAAATCAAACAAATTAGTAACATGCCTCACATAAAATAAACAAAATTATAAATCCACACACTGGCACATGAAAAGCGCGCGAAACACAACCTCGAAGGATAAGTGATAATCTAGTCAAGATACAAGAACCAACTTGAACTAGACAATCACTTATCTTCCGCGGAGGTCACTTGTGCATGCAGTTGAGCCACTGAAAAAAAAAAACAAACAGAACAAAACAAAATATTTAATGGAGTATGGACAAGCTTTTACAAAACCAAAACACTGTCAACTCTCGAGTTGATACAATACATACTAAAAAATGCTGCACAAATTCTACATAATTCTATTTTTAAACCTACCTCAAAAAAGAAGTTTATCAATATGGTTGTTTTTTTTTGTTTTGTTTGTTAATACAAAACACTCGAAATTTAGGAACTGATTTCATTTTTTTTTATTTGGGAGGTATTCCTACTTCCCGGTAGGCAAATTAAGGTATGAAGAATACGGTTAGACCCATCGAAGTTGACAATAAACTTGATTAAAAGTAAAATTAAGCCGGAGTTGCACAAACACTAAGCAACATGACATGCCAATACTCCATACAAAAAAAAACACATTAATATCACTATACGGTACATTATTTGTTGTTACCTGTAGAAACAAGGCATGCGCCTGTTCAGCGTTGTTGAATTGATAACTTTCCAAATCTTGGCCGGCGTTGGCCAGCTCCAACACTATATACTGTTGATCTACAGGGAGGATCGCTGGGTTGTCGTTCTCAGAGCCTTTGCACTCGTCATAGAGATCCCACAGGTCAAGCAGGCGAGAAGGATAACTGCCGTATACGCACCTTACTGCCAGAACCTTCAATACAAATGATATAACATGATATACCTTCAGCATGGACTCAGTGGGATAATTATATCAAGTAATCACTTTTTAAATAATTTTGAATGATTCTTCGCATTTTCCTAACTTTAATGAAGTAATTATACAAACCTACATCTTATAATTTCGCCCCCTGGGTGTTACACTCAGTGAGAACTCATGAAGGCATTATTATAAATGCCCATGATTTGCCAGCAAACAGTCTAAACGAGTCACGTTTTGTCAGGACTCTCATTCGCCTTAAGAAAACAGGGACGCATCGATCAGGCCCGCACCCCTGGGGCGGGGCTTCGTCGATGCATCAGTATTTTCCTCTTTCTTAATGCGAATAGACTATAATCATATCCAGGTAACAAAAGTTGCGGACTCGTCGAAATATAAATACTCCAAAATGTGCATAATGTTAACAGATACGTGACACTTTGTGTTCAGTGAACAGACAGACACGTGTAAATCTAATGCAATCTGTCGTACAGCACTTGTTTTAATGAAATGTCTAAGACACAATTCTGCATTTTTACGAATGTTTTAGCGATCTTTTAGCTTTTCATTGGTTGTTTGAGACTTTCAACAAACTGAACTTCTGACTCCCGCTTACACATTCCAATTCAGACTTATGCTCAATTCATAAAAAATCTATAAAAATTCATGCATAAACCGTTTATTCAATTTCGATGAGTTTTGTCAAATTTGAGAAAGATCACGGGCCCGAGTCGCAAAATTACAATTAGATTTTGATTCAATATAAAGTTGTAACTGTTTATAAGACCCGATTTGAATGTCGTTTAACAATATTTTTGCACATTTAATGCAAAACAATTTTATTTTAAAGGTTGGTTAGGTTAGGTTAGAAACCGTAGACAAAGAAGTTAACATACTCAGTGTTATATTGTTAGAAATACATACCAGTACAAAAACTCGACTTACTACATTACTAGTTCAAATATAAAATATTCTCATGTATTTCCTCATAACATTGATCATTCCAAAAATACCCAAGAATCAGACCCGTCCTGGACATAAGCCAAATACGTTTCCGTAGTCCGTAGTCCGATAAACAAAGAATTACGTTTACACCTACCGCACACGATGAATGAACCATGTAAAGAGTATATAAATGTATATATAATTAGTAAATGGCTTTTGCAAATTATGCGCCATCTGGACAAGATAGTGTGCGTCTTGTTTCGATAAGAGAACGGCCTACTTACGTTATCAAATAAATAATATATGTACTGTTCGCAGTGAATAGGGTGATTCACTCTATTTCGAAGGTAAAACTCATGCGGTGCTTTTGTTTCAGCTATATAGTGAATCACTCTTTGAGAATTGTTTGGACGTTGTAATGACCTCATTCCGTATAACGGACACGAAACCAATAATGCATTTATGAGAAATTGTCATTACGCAAGACGTTCATCAATGTATGTGTTTCAATCGAACCAATTTAGACTCACTTAACGAGTTCTTTCAAAGAGAATAAAGCTGTATAGGGAAGATAAATAAATACATTTATCATTTTAGTTTTGGTATTTCTATTTTTTCTTGAAAGCGGATGGTGGATATTATAAAGCAAAAAATAAATTACAAGTTGTCGTCTTTCAATCACTCAAAGCAACATAGGAAAGTCAATTTACGCACAGGTAAAAGAAATCGTAAAGTTGTTGTGATAAAAGGGTCCTATTGAAAATTCATAGCAGGTAAATAGATCTCAGAAATGGGCCCACATCTGTGCCGAGAATAGGGGAACTATTAAACGCAGGAACTGTTTTTTTACTTTTTAACTTATTTATCGTCGCAGGTAGGGTGCGTCTATTATGTACGGTATACTTCTTTTGTAGTTATTGCATTTCATGATGGAGCAAAACAGTCAACTAGAAGAAAGAGCATTCAGAATTTATAATCTGATAACTGCAGATTAAGACTACAAAAGCTAGTTTTAGTTGTCTCCTAGCCTTAAGAGCCTACGAAAGCTATTCACGTGTTCCTAATAAAACTTACAACACTAATTACCGCTTTTGTAATTTACGATCAATAATCTTAAACAACGTAAATTGTATTTGCATTACATACGTGTAAAATGCTTAATTACGCATACTGGTGAGCTTGGAACAAACAAATGAATATATCAGAACTTGTACCGTGACGTCACTGTCGAGATTTTACGTAATACAGCAAATGTAATTGGCTGTGTATTGGTAGGATATTATAACAATCATACACATTTACTGTGGCGCGTAATCACGGTGATAGTTAGCACGTGTGTTCACTGAGTCACATTTCAACTTTATTTACAATTTGATACTACAAAGGAATAAAAGATTACGTGAATTTCGTGGTAGAGGTGTGTGCCAAGGGAAAGGATTCGTGACAAACAAAATTCACACTTCGAAGTGTGATCATAGCTAACGGTCACTTGATTTTAAGTGTCTTACGTCGCACATAGGCACATGCAACCTAACAAGAGCGTTGCACACCTATAAGTGTCCATTCAAGACTAAAGATGGGAAGGGAGGGTTAGAGTCTTGGTCTCCGTAAACATCTCTCACTCTTCTATGACATCGTGGTATTACCGAGCCACATGCGCCGAAGCATGGCTCTCCTATTGTTGACACTAAACCGTTTTTCGTATTATTTCAGTTTTTGGTATTTCGGTATTAAAACTAGTAACCACAACGCGTTAAGCTAAAACAAGGGTCAATTGACACTACGTTATCAATCACCTTCTGGAATTATGAGGGCTAAGTGCCAGTTTATTTCACTACTACTGGATCGTCACGGCGTTTGGCACTACGATTGGCCCGCACTGAAATCTCCACCAATCGCAACGCTAAACGCGCTCGCCGTCAAGAGCGAGTCAATGTGAAAGAAACTTGCACTTAGCCCTATGTTTGATTAGAGGGCAAGGCAATTTTGAAAGATAATCCTAGCAATCGATGTCGATGAGTGAAGACCTAGATTGCACTCAATATTTTTGCAAAAATAATTTGGTGAAGGTGTTTTTTTATGTGAGGTGCAAAATAGGAACTAAGTTATTTTGTTTTGTTTTTGAGAAAGTGTAGTTGAGAGTGTATATTTAAACATACAGCCGCTATATTTTTTTCTTTTTAAGCCGTGATTTCGTAGTCATTAGTAGGTATTAGGACTAAGAAATCCCGACTCAAAAAGTCGACGACGTAAGAAGGCTTTCTATAAAACTATTTTGCTGATAATAACATAAAGTTAATTTTGAAATACGTACTACTTAAATAGAATAATGTACTCTACAGAAAAAAAAAACTAGACAGAACAGATCACGAGACCAACGATTTATTTAGACGAAGAGATACTCCCAATTTTAACGTTATTTCCAAATACAACTGAAGGTAATTTATGAACACCGTTGCCACTCAATCAAAGTCGGATGCAGTTTCAGTTTGCAAGTGCAAGCATCGCGGGCATCACAATCATGACACTATGTAAATACCTATTGTTTTGAGAGTCGATTTTCACACGTTACATCAACCGTTCTCACCTAGCAACTGCTCTCATTCGATTACTGAGACATTTGGCTTTAGTTTGTATATTTGCAAATATATTGTATATTTGAAATGCAGAGGACCCCTTGGCACGATTAATTGAACATAATACTACTGTTTTAAACAAAAATAGTGTTTGATCAAATAATTCTGTAAACCGTAACCGTAAAGCCTTCGTCACTGCAAGATCAGATTGACCATGTACTCAATAGAACTACGGATCTTTTTTCGCAAGATTGAAACCTAAAATTATTGGGCCCGGCCGAACTTTACTAAAGAAATATTTGCGCATTTAGTGGTTTTGGCATAACATTAATAGACCATTTTGATGTAATGACTTAAGGCATTTTTGTGTATTTTGTAACTAAAAGGATGTTAATAAATAGACTAAATTGTTTAGTATTGTAGCTATGGGTGTCGGTGTTCATCCATCCGACCAAAACCCAGATCGAAAAGTAAACATTTACATTGTTTTGACAAAACAATTAACGTTTTTATTTACGAACGCATTTTTTTAAATCATTAACTTATTTGAATAATACTTGCGAGTATTAATAGAAGTAATCGAAAGAGGTACGAGGTCATATGGTATTTTAATTTCGCTGGTAATGACCCAAACTAGAGTGATTACCAAATCATTACTTTTAGTTTTAAATACACATTAATATCGAGTAACGACATCATACGATCGCTTACCTCATTAAAAGCATCAGTGGCATTCTCTATGGCTTGTAAGTTGAGTGCTTCAACGTCTTTGCCTTCATCAAAGTGTCTTTCGATTTCTGCTATAGGCGCTCGCAAGGCGCTCAATTCCCTGTAACAAAGAAAGTACGTCGTAATCTCGTTCTTACACAATAGATGTGCGTATTTTGCATTGTTTGTGTTTTTTACTGTACATACAAAATAAATAATTCAAAATCAAGGAAGAAAAGAATATGTGAAAAGGTGAGCTTAACCCAGTGTTGAGTTTTCTTCCAGCAAGCTTAAAGAGTGAAGAAGAATGTACGTCAAGTTTTTGAAGTGAAAACTTCTTTAGGCGCGTTGGTCATCTGGCGACACTGTCACCGTTACCCACACCTCTGTATATAACTTCTGTCGGCACGCCCACAGCGTTTTTTAATGGAATGGTAGTGTAGACGGGCTGGACGAGAATCACAAAAATGCATTGCCGGTCTATCACTTCATTTCAGTTCTCCCGCATTAGAAATATATTCTGTGTCGAAGGGGACTTTACAAACATACATGAAAAGGACACAAAGATCACCCAGACTAACAAAGTGTCGTCCCATGTGGGGATCGCCGCTTACTACTACGCCATCCGTGCAGTCAAGTCAGTCCGAGTCACACTTAGGTAGGCACATGGTGAAGGTCAACGAAAGAACTGCTTAAGACTGGTTTACTGTGAGGCCCTGGTATTACTCCGGTCGACCCATACAAAAGCATGGCTTGCTAATGGCAAGGTTTAATAAGCCAATAAACTAAATAAAAATATAATCAATGGTGCTAATTCTGTTGTTCGAAAACTCTCCGAGTCGGTTTCAAATCATTTAAGGCATCAGATGTCAAAAACGGATTCTTTAAATAAAAAAAAACATCTACACCAAGAAGTCAGTTTCTTTGAGAAATATAACAAAAGAACAAAAAAATTTAAACACGAAAATAATGGGCTAGCAGTTTTATTCAGTCCAAAAAAAACATGTCTTGTCACCTACAGGTGACTATAGCGACTCAAAACAGCTTAATTGTTCAATGTATATCAACAAATATTGTTTTAAATCTGACCGTGAGAACATTTAATACTTCACAATATTTAAATAAAAAACAACCTTCAGATTATGACTTAGGTATATTAATAATTCGATGTTACAACTATCAAGCGTGGGTCGTGTGGAGATGACTAACAATATCTCGCACGAATGGGTGGGCACCATGGCAACTGAAGTATCTTACACAAAAACAACAAATTAGCATTTCTAACAGCTGTTTAATTAACAAGCAAAGGAATCACAACAACCTTGATCAATCATGTCAATTGATTGAATAACAATTATTTTAAATTGTCATTATGAATGCCAGAAAAGTTGCTTGCGATAAATGGACCTAGGAGATTGCAGATAAGCCAGCCTAAGGAAGGTCTAGGATAAAATTTTGTTAGTTAAGTAAGATTTATTCATATACAAGCAATAGTATGCGGTTTCACTCGCGTTAATGTAATATTTTTTGAGATAAAAAGTAGCCGATGTGCTATTTCAGACTGTAATCTATATCTTTGCCAAATTTCATCTAGACGCGTTTAATGATTCTGATGTGATTGAGTAAACATCCATGCTCCTATACAAATTTTCAAATTAATTTTAATTAAATAGTTTAGATTATTTAATACAAGTGAACCTAGTACAATATAATACGTCAAGTAAGTAAAAATAATAAGTTAATTTTTAATACTTATTTTTATAATAAATTCAATATTTCAAAGAAACGAACCTCAATTTATAAAAAAAATATTTAAAGTAGCCAAAATTAACTAACGTAAAAAGTGCAGTCTATGACTGATGATGATGATATCAACTATATTCGCACAATATTATTTTTTAAGGAAATAAAAACGCTTATTAATTTTACACTATTGTTTAATTAAGTTCATTAAGAAAAAATGTTCCCTAAATATAAAAATATTTTGATTAATGGATTGACTAATAATTTCCTATCTTTTGTATGTAGATGCTTTTTTTGTTCCCACGTAGCTTTTGTGTTCCGCATAGAGCACATTTAATAGTGGCCGTGACAAACACATTGAAACCCATCGAAAACATCACTCGCCTATAACCCCGAATAGGTAGACAGGAGTATATTAAACGCCCATATTTCATCAACTAGAATTTTCTAGTTGCAGTTACGTAACGGGGGGGGGGCAAACCTATTGTCATCGGACTTTAGGTGGAAAAAATAAGAAGTATTTTGAAAGGAAAGGTAGATAGATAAGGAAAAAATAGTGTAAGAAAAGGGATATTGCTAGTAAGGGTGGATTCAAGAATGTAAGCAGTTCAAGCGGGTCAGGGTTGTGAAACTGTAACTCGAATTGGCGATATAGTACCGGAAAGCCCGACTAAGAAATCGATTCATGGTTCATTACGAAACTGACTGTCGTTTGATATTTTACAAAATCATACAAAATTCTTCGAATTTTCAACACATACTCGTAAAACCATGTGTTACATGTATCTCCCTAGATAGGACTTACAAATTATGTTATATAATGTTGCCATTTGAAATTTGTAAAAAGCTATTAACTATGTTAAATATTTAAATAGTATTAAATTTGTCTCGAAGTAAAAATATTGCACCTAATTGATCAATCGTAGAAGGCGGAAGCGACCTCCTTTCCTACTTTGTAGAGGTAACGAAGTGATTAGCAAAAACACTGTTTTACTTTTATACATGCTGGTCACTTCGTACTTATGGGAACTAAAAACCTAATTACGTATGTGTTATGTAGAAATAGAACAGTACTATTTAAATAACCACAAGTAAACTTCTACAGAAATAGATTTTGCAAATCTAAACAAGGGGAAGTCGCCGTTGTTCATCTATATTTTCGAGCTAAAAAAGTAGCCAAGTGCTATTCCAGACTGTAATCCATCTCTGTGTCTCATCCGATCGTTCGTATTCGATCATCGAATATTCGTATTTAGTTGCAAAGTTATCATTAATAATTTAGTTCCGACTAGACGTCACGAATTTTAGGACCGCTATCAGCATAAATTAATAAACGTGTTTGCCCGAATACGATAACATGATTTTGCTACTAATCGATTACTAATAAATGATAACAAGTTTAGTCATAATAATGATAACGTTGACGAGCTCTCGTCTGGTGTGTATCTCTGTAGATAACCTTCTGCTTTCATGAAAGGAGGTAACAATTTCTCATGTGTCACAGTTATGCGGAAATCTATTGTTGGAATTCTATGACTATGTTACGTCTAATCACGCCATTTACATATAAAAATTAATGTCTGTTTGATCTGCCGAATAATAGGTACAAAGTAGTTAAGTTAAATACCGAAAAATGACGCAGAAATTGCGCTAATTAGCCTAGTTAGCACAATGACCAACTAATGTTATATCGTTAACCTTTAAATGTAGGTCATAATATCAATATATATATTTTTATGTAACATCATCACAAGACATGTGATGTCTCTTACCTATCTCGCAGTAACTGGTTTTTATATTCCAAAGCTGTTTGTATTTAAAATCACTTGTTCTGTAACGCTGCATATTATCTATGTAGTTATAACTGGTTTAGTCCATACATCGCGTTCCATAATGCAAGCATCTACCATTCTTTGAGAGACGAAGCAAGAAATGAGCCGGAAACGGTAATAGTAACATCGTAACATTTATTCTATTTGCAAAAAGACAATGTCATGTTCAAAAGCGAAAGTATTGTTACAATAACGACATCTTATTAAGTACAATGTTGGTTATGAAATGTTGGTTACTAAAGGTTACAAATTGTTGCCCCAGTCGTAACTTACGATTTGAGATGATTCTTTATTAACTTCCGTAACATATGCTAAATATTTAACCATCAACACAAAGTTGTAAACGTGAATAAGGCTATCTCAAAGCTAGACTTGCTTGGGAGCAGAAAGTGAAAAGAATGTGGGATGAGTCACAAAATCGATGTACACACACTTGTTCATGGTATCTATATAAATAAATAAATAAAGTCTCTTCTTGTAATGTCAAAATAATAGGTTTTTCTCATGTTTATACGGTTATTTGCCTTAAAACCAGTTTAAATATCTTTTGTCTGTCTGTCTGTTTGTTCCGGGTAATCTACAAAATTTGATAATATTTTACTACCAGGTAGCTGTCAATATAAGGAGTTACTTCGACTGTTTTTTATCTCAGAAAAACCATTAAAAAAATTTGCGGTGCGGGCATTGAACCAACTGAGACAGCGCTTTTCAAATTCCACGCGAACGGAGTCTCGGGCACCGGCTAGTAGAGCCATGATTCGGCAATAATTGGCCGGCTAGACGTTAAACAGTGTTAATCAATAATTTTATACCACACCATAACCACCACCCCTATTCAACCCGAGGGTGTCGTAAGAGCCGACTAAGGGAGCAAACTATGCATAACAACGCCACTACAGAGAGAAGGCAAACTTGACACAAACCCTATACCAAACCATCTGGAACGCGTGGTATGTTAGGCCCAAACCTCCTTTCTAAGGAGAGGCCTATGTCCAGCAGTGGACTATTAAAGGCTGTCACGAAAGTTACGAAAATAGAACACAAAACGTGGGAAAGCCATCTTGACTAGTAGGCATCGTGGGTCGATCTCATAAAAAACGCAGTTATCTATTGAATGAGGTTAAGGAAGCCCAACCTCTTTTCCCCCTATTTTTTATGTGACTAAGAACCGCTACGCACTTATTACTCTTGAGTTGTGGGTGATCATTGGCAGCGGTAGTCACTTACCATCAAGTTGCCCCTTACACCGTAAAAAAATACACAAAATAACAACAACTATGTATACTAAATAACGGTTGAGATGTCTTCCCTGGTCACCAAGATTAGAGAAGTTTGCAATATGATAAAGACAACCATTTCTGCTAGGTTAGCAGTACACAAAAAACATTCTCTTTAGCAATTAGGAGACTGCCTTGAGAAGCTAGATGTGATAATACTATTTGCTGTATTTTACTACAACATCATGATAACGAGAGGTCAGTTCTAAATGCTAAATGTAAACGGCTAAAAGACAGCACCTATATAAATAAATTTTTGAAGCAGATAACCAGATCTTTTAATTATCATACATATTCAACTAAGTTAAGGAAAGACTTAGTATCATTAACATACTACCTACCACCTCCGAGTTGCCACAGTTCTTAATTTATTTACCAGCAAAAGAAGTGCTGATTAAATTCTAGAAAACTGAACAAGAAGTCTCAACGCACTACATCCTGTGTCATCAGAGTTAGTGATATTCAAAGCAAGGATGACAAAATAAATATTACTTATAATTTGACCTTGGCCTTGACCTTGCCTGACAATACTTCTAAAACGTAATAAAGTATTATTGTTCTTGCTTGCAACACTTAGGTTTATGAAATTAACAATTCAGATTTGAACTAATAATTAAGAGGGACAATATATAAAATAAAAAAGTAATATACTTACATAGCAATCACAATTTCAGATATGATTTCATGGAAGTCCTTCTGACACTCCCCATTGACCTTAAGGTTTCCAGCTATGGGGATTATCTTCAAGACGCGCGCGCGGCCATCTCTGGCTCTCCACAGAAATACCTCTCCGTAGACGCCTTCGCCGATCTTGTGGCAGTTCTTCAACTGCCTATAACATTTAAAAACTGTTATAATATTTACAATAATTGTTATATTTATGAGAACAGTAGCTGTTCTCCGAGTTTAAAGAAAGTGAATTCAATTTTATGAACTTAAGACCCTATATCATCACCAAACTAGATTGAGCTCACCTTTCAGTCTACTATGACACACCTGAACTTTTTTTTTATTTTTTACTAGACGATATCAAAGTTCTGTAGATAGACTGTTGTCCGACTATGTAGGGCTCCAACTACCCTCAACGATTGCCACAGATTGTATGTGATAGTATTTGTATGGCAACCAGGACCGACGCCTTCATGTGCTCTCTGAGGCACATGTGTTAAGAATGGTCACCTATCCATAGACTGACCTGACTAGAGATTGTTTTAACTTTGCAATATGCTAACCTACTCGATAACCACTTAGCCATGAGCACCTAAACCTTTGACCCTAGAATGATATTTAACTGTTTAAACAATATAATAGTACCCTATATAAAATTCAACAATAGACTTGATAGAATTAAAGCTTAAGATTTTTTTATTTTACTGCTCGAGACTAAGATCTCAATCTCCCCTATCCCACTAGAGCATTTTAGATGTTCAACTGACAATAGGTTTTGCAATAAAGGTGAACACATGCGGCTACAAACTAACAATCATTGCGAATACTTATGATTGATAACATCTATCAGTGCAAATATTTAGTTTGTTTAGAAATTGTTTTTTAAATGTCACAGTGACATCCATACTGACATTGGTATAGAAGGAACAATAACAAAAATTATAGACTAAGCCTAAGAAATTAATAGTTCCGCTTCTGTCAAAATTATTTATGCTACTACATGTAAAATTATAATTATACAAGGGCATAATTAATTTTGTTAACTATTCCTTAAAGAACAACAAAAATAAAATATGTTAGCACTAAATTCATCATCATTTGGCAATTGAGTGTTACACATTGCAAATGTTTATAGTCTGGTTTCTTCCATGGCCAGCAACTCTAAGTAACTTAAACTGCATAAACTTTCACCAAATCTATCCACTATATAAAATATTGCATGCTAACTGATGGCGGAAATCAGACTTGTCAATGTTAAATATAACAACTACCTAGGTAATTTATTGAGATGAAATTTTACGTAACAATCTTTTTGTTTTATTTTCTTGAGCCCTTGCCTACAGCCATGCACTATGATATATAAAAGCACAATTACTGTAATCACAATCATTTCAATACTGTTTTTCAGAAATGTTTCAAACCAAAAAGTAGTAGTTAGTGGTTTCATATTACAAGTTTATTTTTATGGATGTGTATTTGTCATAATATGTTTTTTCTCAACCCAAGTTGTTTAGAATGAATACTACAATTTCAGAAAGTCATAGAACACAACAATTTAAAGTTACTTATTAAAAAAACAGCAAATAGAAGCTTACTGCAGTTGATTTTACAAAATATATTTCTCATTTATTACCTAAGACAGATTTAAAGTTATCAAACACACAGAATTATGAGTCATTACAAATATATAAAATATGACTCATATTGAAGGTAGACAGTTATTTGTTCATATTGATTAAATGATAATGAAAGAGACTTTCTTTTAATGCAATTAAAATATTGAGTCATTTAATTGAAATAATACATAACACATTGTAAAGATATATTTGTTTTATCTCTGTCATGTTCAAGCAACTAGTTTATACATTATGAAACATCATTATATCTAAGAAAGCAAGCCAAGGAACTTGCCCGTGAATCTCTTTTAACATAAAAATACCAAACATGCAATTAATTTTGTAATTCAATTTCCTAGATAATTAATTTCAAAATAATTTTAACTAAATTGTTCTATTTAAACTTTTATTAAATATTTATATAAAAAAACTAATTGCAACATGTTTCTAGATTAATTAATGTTTATCTGAATAGAAACATTAAATACAAGATAGTTTGGGGGGTACAATATAGTAACTTAGTATAAACTAAGAATCATGTAATGTTTTCAATGTAGGGCACACCTTTTAATTATTGTACTTACTACTCTATTTTGTGATGACTACCTACATAAGTTTGAAATAACACTTCTTGTTGGTGTAACCTCATTTACGAGTAATTATTATTTTGTAAGATAAGGACGACAATAAATACTTACGAATCCGGATAGCATTCATCAAATGGTAACGGCTCCGTTTGATTGCATCGACGCAACACGTAATCCTTCGCTGTGGCTATTCGGTTTGAAGTATCATTGAAGTTGTCTAGCACAGTGACCTCATGCGTCTGATCAGCGATCGAGAGTTTTGATAATTCGATAATAGTATCATCACACTCCTCGTTCCAAAATCCTGAGAAATAAAACACCATGAGTTATTCACAACTTATATGACATTACTCGTAGTAGGAAGTACCTACTCAACGTACTTTCCCTCGTGCGTAATCGTCTCTTTCATTTACGCAATACGCCATGGCGTTATAAAAATCGAAAAAACTCAACGTATTAAACACTAACCTGTGTATTGCAGGGAAAGATGCATGCACTTGGCTAACAATACACTTTATGGAACAAAGGGCGTAGAACCAAGCTGTTATCCCGTTACGGATAAGTAATGGCAGACACTCAATTTTTTTTTAGTTCAACACTCAATAACACTTATAATGTTTCTTATACTATTATCTCGTAATAGTAACAAATATTATAATTCACTTGAAAACTAACACGCAGTTACCAAATAAAAAATAAAATAAAAATTGTGGACAAAGACAAGCCCGCAGTGAAGCGTCCTCTTCCACGAAACGCACAGAACGTTAATTAAATAAAACCACAGACTGAAGTAGAACAGTGCGAATTCTCAATGTTGCCAGAGTTGAAACGTTTTAGTAGAATGTTAATTTTTAAATTGGTTTTTAGACTGTCCAACCATTTTTTAATTACTGTTATTGTAATATAATAATAATACTTGCCGGAAGCAATGTCTGGTACGGTTAACTAACTTTGTTTATCTAAATAAATATACTTATATACGTTATAGCTCAGTTTAAGGTCGATCTGATTCTTAGCGGATCTCCCTTATTATGATCATGTACGGTTTCGGTTTTATTACAGAGTATTGAACAGACAGGCACGCGTACCTCTTAAAAAAAACAATACTCAGCTACCCTGAGCCTGATTGACAATTTAAAGCTTATTAAATGAGAGCCATGTCGTAACGATAATGCAGTATGAAATGCATAACTGAAATACAACTTTTAAATAAACCAGCTGTCTGCGTTTAGGAAATTGCTTAAAATGACAAAATAATACTACTAATTTGAAGAAAAATGGTTCAACAGAATACTGCTCGAATTTTTAAAACCCCAGACTTCACTCTACGTAAGAGAGCAATTCACCAATAGTGCTGCCTTTTCTTACTCGTAAAGTTATCAGTACCATCATCGATGTTGCGATTGATAGTTAAAAAGTTTGAAATAAAAGAAAGTCAAGGTCAGTGTGGTTGTTCATTAATAAAACTTCACAAAATGAAATAGAATACTGTTTACCAATTTGGCACATTATACCTTGCTAATAACTTTTAACCAATGTGCAAAACCATTCCATTCAAGGTAGTGAAAATGACGACTTATTTGTATACATTTTTATCTTAAGCGGAACATGCTAAGGCTCTCAGTAAAAACTTGGGATTTGTAATAATACCCGCATACAAAAATACCCATTTTTTATAATTTTGAATTATTGTTATTACTCTGCTGTGGCTATTTAGTTTTAGGAAAAGACATTGTTTTAGGCAACTTTGATAAATAATATATTTAGGAATTCTACTAGGAAATGAAAAAGTTATCCGAGATTCCTTGTTTGTCCCACGAATGCGTATATTTAAGCAACCTAAAAAATAGAAATAAAATTTATTTTCTCATGTGTTCAAAAATTCACAAAATACTTAGATTCCCTTTACAATGATAACATTTATTACTGTCATGTTTTCATAAGAGACAATAATATTAGTGAATGTACTAATATATGCATAAACGTATTTAAAAAAATACCTTTTACGTCCTCGAATAATGTTGAGTTGCATAAACTGAGTCTTGTACTATTAGGATCCTGCACAAAAAAAATAAAACATGAAAAAAAATCACATTAACATAGCTACATAGAAAAATATAGGTACTTACTTTCACAATTCTAATTGTTGATCGACTAGGCTTAGAGACAAAGGTACTTCTGCGACTATTGATTGATTCATTATGTAGGGAATCTAAAAGAAGACAAAACATAAATGACCACGAAATATGTGTGCAAATTTTTATTTGAAAAAATGTATACCTGACATTACACTGAAACTTTGGATGGAAGTGTCAGATCTGTTTGAGTTTGAATGGCAGCTTTAAATGTCAACTGCCAGTATTTAATGATAGAAAAAAGTATTAATAATAAAGTTTCAATATTTAAAATATCTGTAATTCCCACTGCTCATTATCTTGATTTAGAAATAATTATTTAGCGACACGCCACTTAAAAACGAATCCTATAAATATTGCATGGTTTAGTGCGATCGATAAGATCTATTCAGGTTAATCAGGGATCAGGGGTATTCGGGTAAAAAATTCTGAGCAATCACTATTCTCAAAGGGCCATTTACGCGGGAAGAGATGAACCTTACTTTATACATTTCTTTATGTACCCATTATGCAATCCCGGAAAAAATGTAACCAATATATCGTTTCTGGAGGTTGCTGTCTCACCAGCAATGTATATGAAAAAATTGTTGTATGGTTGATGATTGGATGAATGGTATGGCAAGGCATAAAACGCATCCTCTTTATATATTTATATAATAATTAGACTTGCAACGAATATTCGGTTACTATTCGGTATTCGGCATATTCGGCTGCTTTTATTATATTCGGCCGAATACCGAATATCTACATATTATTCGGCCGAATACCGAATACTTAAATAATATATTTTGTCATTAAGAAATAATTGGTGAAATGAAAAATTAAAATCGATTGATTACGTATATATTCATATTTTCATTTCTGTTATAATCATTTAAGTAGTCATTGGTGCATAACACAGGTACATAATCATCTTCTGAATTGGAAAAATGGAGGATTCTATGTATTTGAATTATTGTGGTAATCAACATTTAGAAGGGTAAGGTTCTCATTTCTTTTATAATCATTTATTAAGTAGTCATTGGTACATAAAACAGGTACATAATTTAATTCACGTCTGTACAAGTTTTTGGCGCTAAAATCCAGCCGAATACTTTTGCCTAATATTCGGCTATTCGGTCAGGGGCCTCGCCGAATATTCGGTATTCGGTATACTGCCGAATATACTATTCGTTGCAAGTCTAATAATAATAATAACTTGACACATCTCACACACGGCCATCAGATTCCAAACTAGGCAGAGCCTGTACTATGGTAACCAGACCGCTGATAAACATACTTATATATTTCCAATTACATACATGGTATAGATAAAGTACACCCAGACACAGAACAAATTATCGTACTCATCACACAATTATGTGTCCTGGGTGGGAATCGAACCCGCGACCTCCGGTTTAGCAGTCAAGGTAACCTAACTAGAACAACAGGGTAGACATTTGGTAACTTACACCTAATTACTTTCATTGAATCCATTACATTAGGGTTTGTTTAGTAGTAGTATCTTAGAACAACCAAACAACTAGCTACCATGTTGATTTTATGGCATATAATCTCAAACATTGAAGTGATTATGTGCTGAAGTTTGATCAGGATTTTTTAAAATTGCAACCATAGATCATATCGTATATAGAGATATTAATAATTTAAGAGCATTACTTACTATTAAATTCCTGCATTTCCATAGTACTAATTACACTTTGCCTATATTTTCGACCTTTAGCTGAGGTAGCTTCTTCTTCTAATATGGATCTATCAAAATGATCAGTCATCATTGTCATCCTTCTGTAAATACTTAAAGATCTTTCCCATCTCTTACCAGGCTGCAGTACAATGCATGGTTTTGAATCCAAGCAAGAAAATCTAGACATATCTGACTCCTGTGTAAGACTTCCTGTATGCAAATCAGATTGTCGATCAGATACTCTACTATTTTGTGGATTAATAGAACTCTTTTTGCCTCTTATTGCACTTCTTCTCTCAGTCATATTACTACTTCTAGTAGTAACAAATGACATTCCTGTTTCTTGTTCTAATACAGTTTCATCTAAATGTTCGGAACTTTTATTTGGGTCGAGTGTAGCATCTGCATTATTACTTTCTAAATTTACTAGTATTTCTTTATTGTCTATATAAGAATTATCATCAGGTTTTTCTATTTCCTTATTGCTAAGCACAGTTTTATCACAGTCTGTACTTGAAGAGTAATTGGATTCATTGAAAATTGACATCCTTGAGTTACTGGTGACTTCATTTCTTCTTCTTGTTGTAACAAAACTCATACATTTCTCTTCTTCACTATCATCATCCCTATCATATTTTAATTCTATTTCAACATCAGAGTTATCAGTCTTATTCTCTAGTTCATTTTCTTCTAAATCACTTTCTAAGTCAGTACTGTTAAATGATTTTTTTGAATCATTGCAATCTTTATAATCATGTTCATAATTTATACTATTACTATCACTATTTTCTTCTTCACACTTCATTTTATGATAATATTTGAAAAATAAAGACTCATCCATTCTTTGAAGCAGAATCACAGGTTGTTTCTTATCGTCTGATGTCTGAATAGAGCTTTGTTCACTTGGACAAGTATCATACAGTGAATTTTCATCTTCGTCTATGCTATGTTGTATGGTATTATCATCACTTTTATTTTCTATGTCATTACTTACATTAGTTTTATCACCATAGCTTTGGTTTTCAGCAATTTCAATTTCAGCTATACTACAATCATTACTATTGTTAATACTTCTTTCTTCTAAATCAGCTTTATTTGCACTAAGTTCAGTATCAATAAAACTACTTTTATCAAAGGTATCATCTGTATGTGGAATACTGATGACATGGTTTTCATTTTTATCCTCTGCCTTCTTATTAGCATCTATTGGGAAACCTAGAAGTGGTTCAATTTCTGTAGTTTGTAAGGAACTTATTTCAACAGTAGAAATTGTATTAGTATCATTAGAAATTATTTTAGAGGTTTCCTGTACCTCCAGAGATTTATCTACTTCAATATCACTTTCTTTTTGAGGATGTTTTATTTCATTATCGACTTCTTCATCAATATTATGCTCAGACTCAGAATTCTGTGGGTTTTCTTTAAGTTTAGGGCTATCTAACTTAGGTTTACTTAGAAGTATTACACTACAGTTACTATCATCATTATTTTCAACCAAAGTTCCATGTTTTGGACTACAATCTTTATTAGTGGCTGCTATAGGTGAAAACTTAAAAATTGATTCTCCCCTATACTTTACTTTGAATGGGGTACTGCATAAAGGTGATTTCTGTAGTAGTGGTGATAGTAAGTTCTTTGTCAATCGGTGATTCCTATATTTGAAAGATTTATTATTAGAATCATTCATGCTGTATTTATGTTTTAATTTATTAAGTAGGGATAGGTTATTAACAATGTTGTTTATAGAGTCATCTATCATTTTGGGGGTAATGTTGACTACCGGTTCTACTTGTAGCTTGTGTGATCTAATATCTGATGTATTTCCCGTTATATTTGTACTGTCAGCTACATTTTCTTTATCTGAATCTGAAAAAGGACATACATATTTGTTTAGGCTCAGACAGTCAAAACAGATTTATGCTAAGATCAGTGGAAAAAATTGAGTCGTCATGGGACATCGTATTTGGAAATGTGGGAGAGTCACAGAGTTAATTGCACATCGTTCACCGCGTTACATGTTACTTATGATGTTTAGGGCCATGTGATGGATGTATGTAGTAATAATTTATTGTGTATTTATTTTATTTTTAATTGAAGTAAAATCTGAATATAATACCTTTATTTGTGCTATATTTATTATTTCCTTTCATAAGCTATACTTTTATACTGTACAAAAGTTGTTTAAAACAATGTATCAAGTGAAAATGACCATGGGAGTTTCAATCATTTTATAAGAATAGTTTGTTGTCCAAGGACAGTGCTAAATTTCTATCCATCAACCAGTACAAACACAAAATAGATATATATTTTTTTTTTTATCTTCGTAAAAGGTGAAGGTTTTTCTATTATAGATATCAGCTAATAGAAAACCTGCTGTGAGGTTTTCTTTTTAGTTAATAAACAATATTAGTTTCTTACCAGAACTAGAATCAGTACTTGAATAGTTAAACTTTTTGACCTTTCTCGGCTTTCGTCTCGTATAGGTCCTGCCTTCTCTGAAAACAATAAAATAAATAAAAATTATTGATCTCCAATTTAATATGTAAGCTTAACATATAGCCAACAGCCTAGCTAAAGAGAGAATCCAGATTGATCTGGATACACATCTCCTGCCATTCCAAGTATTTTCAAACATTTTAAAAACATGTTTATTTCAATATCTTTCTTCTGATAAAGAAAACCGAATAATTAACTTTAAACTACTTGAATCAGTTGTAATAATCAGTATTGTATTTATACCTTCTTAGTAGATATTTTTTTAAAGTAAATTTGCAAATTTTATTTTTGTAACATCAAACAATCCAATTAGGAAAATCCGTTGTTAAGTTAGTAATCCTTAACAAATCTACTCATACAATAAATTGAGAGAAAATGTGATGTTTAATGGTATTACTTACTTCTTTGGAATGAGTTGGTCAAAAGCTTTAACTTTGCTAGCAACAGATTCGACCTTGCTGGAACTTGACTGCACTGGACGTGCAGGTGACGACATAAGCAGTAAGTCGAACGGATCAAGCGGTTTATTTACACGTAAGGACCGATCTGGTGTCAGGTAGCAAGATGTAGACGTATTTTCTCTACAAGGAATTTCAGCTTCTTTGACTATTCTTTTAACAAATTTCTTCTTACGTACTTTACTAGAGGCAACGCCTAGCGTATTAGAGGAACCGACACAGGACAACTCCCGCTTCGTTTGCCTAATATTTTGAATAGAAAATGCATCATATACGGCACCATTTTCATTCAAGTTTTGCAACAAATCTCTACGTTCTATAACATTCGTTGTATCTTTCTTCGATCCGTAGGTACGTCTCATATTGAATAATAAAGATATTATTATAATATTAGAGAAGTATTTTATTTAAATATACATTGTTCTTGAAAATTCAAACTCGCGTTGAAGAACTTCAAAACAGTCAAACTTAACGACAAAAACAAATGGTTTTATTTCGACAGATTATAAATAATGGTTGCGTTCCAAAATAGTGAAATGTTTCAATTACAAAAAATATCAAAAATCTTTTCTTTAAGCTAGCTCTCAAGCAGTGTCCTAATTATAAAAAATAAAGAAGTAATATTATTGAACTACCCTAACTACTGTCCAAACGTGGGAGAACCATGCTTCAACACAAATGAGCCAGCTCATTCAGAGTCGACTGGAGTAATACTACGCGGCTACGACTCACAGAAAAACGGTGTTAAGCAATTCTTACGTTGCTTTTTTCGGAGTGAGTGAGGTTACCGGATCCTAAACCTCTCCTCCACCCTCGAGTTTCAGGTGTCCATGAGCGGCAGCAGCTACTTAACATAAGGTGACCTATCTGCTCGTTTGCCCTCCCATACCATAAAAAGATATTTTAAATTTCTGAAAACATAAGTTACACGATTTCAAAAACTTAAAATCATAATAGTTGGCTGGCATTTGTTTAATATACCTGTCTCTTTAGAAAAAAACTTTACCGATACCACTGAAAGTGTCAACATTATATAACTTTATTAATTCTATTATGTAATCTTTAAAAAAATTAAGCTTATCCTTCCTGCCTGAGGTGCCTTAAAACCAATTTCCCTGGGTTGTTACCCAGGGAAACTGGCTTTCAGGCACCGAAAACGATTGTATCAACTCCTAGAGATTTTGAGTCCGTCTATCGTATACGCGGCCTTTTGGCTTTTATAAAGTCGTGTGATTTTAAGTTTACGTTGTGAAAAATCGACGTTTTATTGTAAATAAAAGGTCATTTTTTTTATTTTGTAGCAGAACTTCTCACATCAAAGTCAGTGATAAAACTCATAAATCGAAGCAGGATTGCCCTCTCTTTCCCATCAATTGGTAGACTACGGTTTTTTCCTGTTATAGGGTGTATGAGAATTAACATAAATATAAATAGTTAAGTAAATAAGTAGATAAAGTAAATAAAAAGGAGAAAAAATCTACATAAACCATTTTATTGTTGAAATCTTCAACTATCTTTATCGACGATGAGCCGCCTGCTCCACACGCTGTATGCATAGCTGTAATGAGAGCCGTCAATTTGGGGTAGCTTAATTAAAATACAGGATAACGCGCCTACGCAAATTCCCTGTATTTGCCAGTAGATCGAACTTGGAGGCCATATGCTACTCTGTTTCCACCCACATAATGGGTTCGACCAGTCATCATAGCCATAAACGGCATATTGTAATTTATAAATAATTAACTTTTAAAAAGTATTGCCAGCTTCAATGCACCTATATTCTTGATGATCTGTATTCTACATTGCTGTATCTACTCTTAAGAGATGGCCTTTTTTCTTCAAATATGAATGGGACTAAACGGGAAGTGTAGGGTAGCAAATAGAAAATATTTTTTAGAGTTCTGTGATTAAAGTTGTGTAAAAAGTAACACCGATATTCACCGAATTAAGACTGTCCTCTTATCAAGTAAATATACATATAGTGCCCAGTAAAGACCTAGGGCACTAGTGCTTGCTATTTAGAGTTCAGTGGGAGGGTAAATAGGCAATGACAAATGACAACATAAAATATGCTTGTGTTTATAAGAACTCAGACCCGGTGTCTGCTGGTGTTGCCAGGGTAACAAAAAAAATACCGTTATTGTGAAGAATTTATATTTTAAAAATACACTTCCTGTAAAGATAGGTTTACACATTATAGCTGATTACACTAATAAAATAACCGCTTAATTCTGTGTACATATTTAATGTAATAATAATGAACATATATTTTTAATCACCACTTGGGCAAAGATCATCAATCTTTGGCAGAATTCCTTTTGTAGCGTGTCTCTGACTGACAAGCTTTTACAATGTACTTTACATAGTAAAAGGTTGAAGCTATAAAAATACATAACATTTTGTACAATTAAGTAAATAAAACTATAAAGTGTCTATATCACTAATCGCGTCTTAAAACACATAGATTACTAAATGTTTTATTTAATACACAGAACACGAGGATAATATCTAGCTACAACTTATTGCCCGTAGCAAAACACGGCTATTTGAACAAGTAGTGGATAGTTATTAATGAAATATAATAGTATATGATGCTAAACCCAAAACACAATTGTTGGGATATAAATCCCTAAAAAGACTTAATCATGCAAGGGATACCTATTGCAATGTTTGTTGATATATCGAATATTGAGATTGATAGAGCATATTAAGATTATAATAATGGAGTCATTATAGTCTGAGAATTAAGTACGAGAGGTAGTGTTATTCAATATACATTTATTGAGTAATTGCACTGAAGGTTTTATGAAAAACTGTTTACCGTAAGATTATCCTGCATTTCAATATCGACGATCCACGATAAGTAATATTAACTATGGGCATCTTTTTGTCATGGTTATTTTATGCGGTGAAATGTTATTTAAAATATGATTTATTGTGTTACATTTAATTTAGTCCTAGTAGGGACGGTCACATAAAAAAGGATTGTGAAATACTTTCCCAAAGTCAAGAAAATGTTTTAAAATATCATTACTAACAGGATAATTTTAGGGAAGAGACAGCGCGTACCCTTCATTGATCATAACAAATCGACTTGCACATAATACACTTCCAACTAAAATATGAAATAGTAACTAAACAATACATAAAATTTGTGTTATTATAAAAATATACTACTTAAAAAGTAAATAACAAGATCTTACTCTCAGTTTTACAACTAATAGTAAAAAAAATTACATAATACAAGATCTATGATATTATTATAATATTTACATAAAATAAGTATATTTACGTACAGATATCAGTACTTTTTGTAAACAATCCCGGTTTTCGGCATGCCCCAGTAATAAAAGGGATTCGATAGTAGGCCATTGCACTTCATAAATCTTTTAAAACATTATCATGAACTCGTTTACCCTCACCACTTAACTAAGTCACAATTAATTTCCATACTGCCCGAATAACACCAAAAAGTAAGACGTGTGCAACCGGGAATCGAATTTGACGACCGATAAAAGAAGCAATGTCTTGACGACTGGACACTATCAGTGTTTGTTACTTAATAGTACACTTAAAAATATATTATATACATATAAACCGAGAGACAGGCAATATTAGGAATGGCCATAAGTTTTAAAATTCTACATAATGGTAATTGCACATCATAGTTATAGTTTTCGTTGACAAAAATAAACGTATAGTCTATTCATTTTAAGAAAATAGTGACACCTGCATCAAGCCTCGCCCCTTAACCCATGAGGTTTCAAGAAATTATCGTTTCGTATAAAAGCTTGGAACCTGATTGGTAGGGGTGCGGCGCTTGATCCAGGCGTCACTATTTTCTTACCGCAAATGAACTATAACATCGTCAATTGATACTAGAAATAAAAATCTAAAACCAATTAAAATGTACTAATAAAATGTTACATTAGTTAAAAAGTATGATTAATTAATTTTATGGTATGAAAAACCTAATAATTCATAGTGATTGCATTTATTTATATTTGCTGTTTAGCGAATTAGTAATTCCTGCGCTTTTTTTTAAGCTCTCATGAAGTGTTTATCGTATAACTTAATATTTAATTTAAATGTACATTATTATTTTTTAAGTAATTGGGACTGAGAACTAATTTGATGTCACGAATAATCAGATCAACACATATCTAATACGAAAACCAGCTCCTTCGTTACTTAAATGCTGCTTGTAACAAAAATATTCATGTTTTATAGATTGCCCACAAAATGTATAAGCAATTTGTAGAATATTGTCTATGACTCTATACAAAGTATCTACTTAACAGCTACTACTATTGCTAAGAAAATACTGCATGATCACTATAAATTATTAGTTTTTCTTTAAAACAAATATAAGTATCAGGTAGACTATACCTTTTTTTTACACTTCGTGAATATCTGCAATCCTTTAAATATTGCACAAAGCATTTATTTTTAAATTTAACAGTGTTGCTTAGTCACTATTAAAGTTACATAACAATTTGTATTCAAAAACAAGTTTTAATATAAACAGGAAACAAAACAGAACGAATGAAATTACTAAAAATTTGTCGAATGTTCGCATTTCCATAGTTACTAAAATCCGTATTGATTAACCATCACCTAGAAATCATCATACACTTCTTCGTAAACCTGTTCGTAATCAGACTTCACGTGAAGTTTCACATAGCTCACACGCGGCTGTCTGATTCTAAACTATACAGAGCCTGTACTATGATAACCAGACTGCTGATAAACATACTTATATACCTCTAAATACACACATGTTATAGATAAATGACAACCAGACAGGGCCTCAATTCTGCTATTTTATGTTAACGTACAACCCACTGTCATTCCATTGACAAGATCTTGAGATTGACTTCGGTCAATACATCGGTATTCTACAACATAAATTCAGTGTCAATAGACGATGTAGTGACAATGGCTCATCAACGGTAATGTCAAGAACATTGTCAACAACAACAACATTACAAATTCAAAATGCACCGTTTACCAAACTATTACAAAGACATCGACGATATTTGTATTAGGGGAAGTTCAGGTACAAGTCATGGGCCATTGGTCTTACATGGTTAGGTGAATACGAAAAGTGCAAATCTTTTCCTACGACAGTCTATTAATACAATATTTATTGAGGACCAGAACGAATACACAGACTACCGCGTGTGAGATGTGTGAAGTTATTCATTTTTGTTTTAATTTTTTAAGCATACACGGACACATCGGACATAACCAGTGCTATAAGTAGATAATATGACATTCCCGATATCCAAATCAATAATAGCAGGCAAAATTTTAATTTGCCTTTGTAGAAACATCAATTGATTTCTACTAATCACATTTT